CCCCCCCTTGTCTCCCACTCCTGCATGCTTTGCCTCTAGCAGATGACTGATCTGATTTCTCTTTCTTTTTTTTTTCCCTCCATCTAGCAGCCAGACAGTCAGAAAAGACAGCTCAGCGCCCAGTGGCATCGCCCAGCTGCACAGACCTGACCAGGCCACACACTCCCCCTTCTCCAACACCACCACCACCATCTCAACTGCCCCCGCCACTGCCCCCACCGTTGCCGCCACCGCCGCTGCTCCTTCTGATGCGATGAACCTCGACGACTTCATCCATCCGATCGAGTCGCCTGCGGACATGACCATGTCCCCGCCCTCCGAGCGGATTCCGGCTTCCGCCTCCGCCGTCACCTCCGCCATCCCCATCAAAGGTCGTAAGGACCAGGTGGTCGAGTCGTCACATGTGCCCGCTTCCTTCCCCAACCCTCCGCAGGACCAACGCAAGAACAACGAGTTCGGTTACGTCCAACGCCGGGTCCGCAAGACGAGCATCGATGATCGTACCTTCTACGGCAACCTGGTCCCAACTCGCAAGCGCCCGGCCGAGTCTTCGCCCCAGGTGCCGCCCGTCTCCAACAACACGATGCTCGCCAGCGACCTGGATCTGGCATCAGGCGTGCCCGACTATACCCTGGACCAGTCGTCTACCTTTGCCCTCCATAACAACCACCCCCCATCCTCCTCCTCCGCCGCCGCCGCCGCCGCCGCCCATGCGCCCCTGGGTTTGGACACCTTCGGGCTGAACGACGACCCCATCCTCACTTCCGCCGGCCCTTACCAGCAGAACTTCACCTTCTCGCCCACCGAATCCCCACTGACCACTGGCAACCCCTTTGCCAACCTGTACGCCCAGACACCCCTCGGCACCTCGTTGAATTCCACCGACTTCTTCTCGCCCCCGCCCTCGGGCTACCAGTCCACCGCCTCCACCCCACAGCCCGTGTATGAGAATGAGCATTCCATCTACTTTGACCAGCCTTCTTCGGTCGATACACGGGCCCAACGCCGCATTCCCAACTACGTCACTCACCGCACCTCCAACCTTTCCGCCTCCCTGCAGCCCCGGTATATGTTTAACACCGCCGGCACTGAGCAGCAGCAACATCCTTTCGGCAGTGGCGGCGGCGGCGGCGGCGGCGGCATGAGTGGTCCCTCCTCGACCATCCACTCACCCAACTTCTCCATGCCGCAGCCCCAGCATGTCGACCCTTCCCAGGTGCTCGGTCACTCCGACTTCATCTCCACCTCCTCCACCGCGGCCGCGGGGATCTCCCAGGCTGGCCTCGCCCTGGGTGGCGGGGACCAGAGTATGTTCACCTTTGGTGCCGATTCGGATAACGAGGACGACGAGGTCCAGCCGTTCCCTGACCGAGGTCTTGCCTTCTCCCATGACTACCAGTCGATCGACGACGGGGCCAGCGACCCCAACTCCGGTCTGCCATGGGACACGGCCTTCTCCAGCCCCTTTGGCAGCTCTGTCCCCAACTATCCGACTCAGCACCGGAAGCATGTCACCATCGGTTCCACCGACATGATGGACACCTCGCGTGACTGGAACCACCACCACACCGGCAGTCTGGGTCGTACTCACGGCTCCGCGGCCTCGGTCAGCGAGGTGCGCAACCGCGAGCAGGATCCTCGCCGTCAGAAGATTGCCCGCACCACGTCGACCCCCAACACCAACGCCCTGCTGCGCCAGACCATGAACAACTCCAATCAGTCCCACACCTCACCCAACACGCCCCCGGAGTCCGGCCTGAGCAGCGCCGTGCCGTCCCGACCGGGAAGCCCCGGCGGCTCCAAGAACGGCGAGGCCAACAACGGCCCGACAACGTGCACCAACTGCTTCACCCAGACCACCCCGCTGTGGCGTCGCAACCCGGAGGGTCAGCCGCTGTGCAACGCCTGCGGTCTCTTCCTGAAACTGCACGGCGTGGTGCGTCCCCTGTCCCTCAAGACCGACGTCATCAAGAAGCGCAACCGCAGCAGCGCCAACAGCCTGGCCGTCGGCATCTCCTCGCGCTCCTCCAAGAAGTCGGCCGTCCGCAAGAACTCCACCGTGCAGCAGACCCCGGCCACCACGCCCACCTCCAGCCGCGCCCTCAGCGGGTCCACTTCCGAGTCCCCGCCCTCCATGCCCGGCTCCGGATCGTCTACCGCCGGGAGCACCCCGGGAGCCTTTCCGGGCCTGGCGAAGAACGGTGTCATTCCCATCGCCGCCGCTCCTCCCAAGTTGACCCCCACCTCCGCCGTTCAACAAGCTCGTGGCGCGGTGCAGGTTGCGCCCAAACGCCAGCGACGCTTGGAGAAAGCCGCCTCGGGCGCGGACGCCGCCGACTCTGCCGATGACTCTGGCAGACCCTCTACCGCGCGATCAAAGGTCGTACCTCTAGCCCCTGCCATGCCGGCCGCCGCCAACCCTGCAAACCACAGTATCGCGGGTGGCCAGGGAGCCAGTCAGGAATGGGAATGGTTGACTATGAGTCTCTAAATCCCTCTCAAATCTCCTCCACCTTTTTTTTTTTTTTTCCCTCGCCCTTTCTCCCTCTTAATGGTTTTTCTTTTCGTTCCCCCCCCGCCCCCCTTGGCCCGCTACGATTCGTATAGACCTGATGATACAATTCTCCTTTCCAATCGCGATCTTCATGGACAATGTCTTTTTTTTTTCTCTTCTTCTTTTTCCTTGTTCGTTATCTCTCAACGCGACGAGGCCATCCCGCTCTGGGCTGATACAATGGGTTCCTATTCTTAATGGCTGGCGGATTCTCTCTGTGCCTTTTTTCTTTTTCCTTTTTTGCCCACCCGATTCAAGTTCTGATGGTTTGATTGAGCTACGAGTGATGCGATACTAGACACTTCTTCATCTTCTTCTCCTTTTCTTTCGGGATCAGTTTCCGGCTTGTCTCCCTCCGGAAACTCTGTGCAAGTTCGGCCGGGTTACGAACATACCTCCGTTTAGTTGCTTCATTGACGGCTTGCTTTACTGATCTCGGGATATACACGAGAGCGCTCGGGATTGTGACACAAGTGCGCCTTTTTTCTTCTTCCCTCACTCCCTTGTTCTGTTGTGTCTCCGTCTTGAAATGATTTGATTTGATTGATACAACCGCGTCTGTTCGGTCCCTCAACCTAGTTTTGCCTGTTTATCATTGTCTTTGTTTCTGCTTGTTTTTCCCTTCTCCTGTTTGAACTTGTGTGTCTTTCCATGGTTGAGGGCCGAGCAGAAGTGCGCATCTCCTTGAACTTGCTTTGCTATTTCTTTTTCGTCTTGGTTTCTTGAGTTTTCACCCTCGAATTGTACGGTCCCTTGCACCGAGGTCGGAGGGCCTGTGATCTCGTGGAATTAATACAAGGCATAGATTGCCTGCTTTATCTGTATCTTTTTCAAATCCCAAGTACGTATGTAGAGTAAGTACGTAATGCAGACGTAGCTATACTCTTCCTCTTCCTCCTCTTGTCCTCCTCTTGTCTTCCTCTTCTTTCTCTTCATCCTTATTCAACATCTTAAAATGTCCAACATGTCAGATATGACCGTAGGCACAGGTATCCCTCTATTCCTTACCAACCACGTTACTAAGTATCAGAAACAGGGCGACGACAACCTCAACGCTCCCCAGAGTATATACTTTCTCTCCGTCTCTCTTCTGTATTCACTCCTTGCTGATGACAGGTAGAGATCTCCGATCCCGCAGGCTCAATAGAATATAACCGGAGCAAGGAGTCCGGTTCCTCGGTTGCAGAGAGGGTATCCGCCGCTCTCCAGCCGGGTATTTACACTTCCTAGAGCTATTGAATGTTTTTTTTTTATTTCTAATAAAGGGTTAGGAGATACCAAATCTACTACGAGACGGTTATCGGATAGTCCGCCAGGCAGTCGGGTGAAGGACTGGAAGGAGGAGAAAACGGAGGAAGAGGAGAGACGGAGGAAGAAGAGCATGATGCAGTCGGCGCAGGAGACGGTGGCTAAGGCTTTGGGTGGGGGGGCGAAAGGTATGAGACTATCTTTCCCCTTGATCTTCTCACTCATGTACTGATGAGACAGGGTCTAGATAGGTTTACAGAGAAAAAGCCTGATTCATAACTACTAGAAATGAATGAGCCCTTGTGTGCCAGTACTGTCACAGACCCCTGAGTACGTATAATCCGCCGCACTCAGTAGCCCGAGAACGTGTGCCCCCACGGAGAATGCGACCAGGACATGCCAGATCGTATGGGACTGGCCCCAGAGATCGAATCGGCCTGGGAACAGGCACTCGGGCACTCGTCTCTGCGCGTAGTGTCAGCCATGAAATAGAACGCATCGGGGGGGGGGAAAGGAGCATGCCTCCCAGAAGTAGCATCCGACGAGGAGGAAGACTCCCTCTAGCAGGTAATACGGCACGCCGATACCCCAGACATGCCCTGGTCCCCACAGCAGCAAGGCGTGTCCGATGGGTGCAAACGCCGAGAGGCCAGTGCTAATGAAGCTCCAAAGGCGGAACATCCTCCACTCCGGGCCGCGGAAGCGGGGATGCAAAAGAATCGTAGCAGTGACGAGCCCTAGGATGGTGATCTGGAATCATTGGCTCGTGTTAGTAAAGCGGACGAGGGTAGGTGGGGGGGTCTCGCTGCGGAGTCACCGACAATAGACCAGTAGAAATACTTGAGGAAAGGGTGGCAGTAGAACCCGAAATGAAGGCCGCTGATGAAATTGCCCAGGATTAATACAATGATCCCGAGATAATCCATCTGGAGCCAGCGGTGGGAGACGTGCTCCGAATGATTGAGCAGCGTGTGGTACAGGGCGGAGATCAAGAGGCACGCAAACCCCATCAGCAGCTGCAACGAAACGATAGACCAGTCGAAGGAAGACAGTCGATCACCGTATTTGGCTCGGACATGGCGATAAATTATGCTCTGGCCCAGCAGCAGCAGCGCGGCGGGGATCAGATGCGACCAGATGTTCGCGCTCTCATTATGAAAATATGCCCAACTGGCCACGCACTTCCACCACGATCGGCTCTCTGGACGGTAGCCGGACAGTATAAACGGATTCGTGTCGATCCAATTGGGGAGTTCCTCGAGCTTAAGTAGACGCCGTTCGGGGGTTGCCTTGTTAGAAGAAGCATTGTTATGATCCGCGAGGGCCGGTTTCGAGCGCTGGGCCCGAATGATACGAAGTCGCACGACCGTGTCGAGAATCATCTTCACCACACCAACAATGCCTCAATTGAACAAGAGAAAGAACATCTTGCTGGAATCCAGGTACTCTGTACTTCTGAGTTTTGTTCTTTGGTTAGTCCTATTTTTATCGCGTGGCAGAGTAAGCGTACATCCTGATCGTCCCTAGATTCCAACACGAGTCAATGCCTAAGACATTGATTGGCGCATCACTTTCTCCCGAGTGGACAGCAGAGATTTGGAAATTACAACCGGCAGTCCGAGACTCCTTGGATGGCCAGAGCCCCCGCAGCCAAGGGCTGATCCTGGTCTGCCCAAGGTCAGTATGCCACGGTCCTAGTACGGAGTACCTACCTGTGTACATCCTAGTAGTTGATGGTTCCTTCCGGTCGTATGGCTGCGACTTCGAGGCTCCGGCCTCTCCCTGGTGGGCAATGACAGGCGAAGGGAGCAAACCTGAAGGAAGAAGTTGGGAATGTAAACCAAATGCCAGGCAAGAAGTGTACAGGCTGATCAGGTGATGGACGAGTCACGAGTCACCCGTGACTTTCTGCCTCAAGAATCAGGCATAATTCAGGTGTCTCTTGGTTTCCATCACGTGATGATAAACCATCACGTGTTATCGCGCATCAAAAAATTATCCCCGGAGGCCATCGCCAACGCGATCATCCTGGCAGACGCTGGCAACTCGCTCATCGCTTGCGTGTTCTCAGTCGGAGAGTCTTCAGCTGAGGTATTTAGTTGATCATTGTTTAAATATCCACCACTGCCGTGTTATTGGGGCTGGATTGCGGATCCTCTCACTCATCCAGATCGACACCACCCTCAAGATGGGCTCTAGTCAGAAGAAGAAGAAGGAAAAGCAGAAGGATTTCCAGGTATGGGGCTTGGTATTCGGTAACCAATGCTTGTGCCTGAACTTACAATTGCTGCAGAAAGCAAAGCTCAAGGTCGGAAAGGCCAAACCAAAGCCAGACAACTTTACAGACACCAGCTTCCGATCAAAAGGTATAGCGTCTCTCAGAATCTGTCTGGCGAGGGATGGGGGATGGCTTCTTTTTGCTAACCAGAATCACAGCCATTGTCCTGAGCCAGCAGTCGCTTAATACCGCTGCTCCTTCAACAAATACCCAGTTCTCCCATCACTTATCACTCCTGTCTTCCAAGTCAGACGTCCAACGCAAAGAATCTCTGGCCCATCTGACCACCTCCATCGCTTCTCGGCCTGTGAATTCTCCCTTGCCCCAGCCTGTAAGCGCGATCCTGCCGAGCTTGCTCCCCCTGATCTTGGATGCGAGCAATGGCGTTCGGACGCAGTTGCTGAAGCTTCTGAGGACGCTGCCACCCTCTGATATAGAGGACCACGTCTCGCAATTACTACCCTACATTCGAGCAGGTATGACGCACCTCGCTGCAGATATCCGTGTTTCTGCTGTGGAAACGCTCTCGTGGCTGGTAGACGTCGCCGGCGCCGAGGTGGTGTCATGCGCCGGAGGATGGATCAAGACAATCAACTGTTTCTTATCCATTCTGGGGTGGCACACGGAAGAGTCTTCCAAGTGGTCGTCGGTTGGCCGGTCCACCTTTGGGAAGTCTGGTACTCAGGGAAAGCCCATGATCAAAGTCCTACAGACACTTGGAGAATTTCTTGAAGCTGGGATCGGAAGTCCCCAGGATATCTCGATGGAGACCGACAGTACGCAAGAAGAGACCGCCGACATTTTTTCAGCTTGGCAATTCCCAATCTGTCACTCGGCGCACCATATGATACCCACTGCTTCCGCTCCCTACGCGTACTTGAATCTGTTCGGACAGCCTCGAGATGAGGACGGCGAGATGTACGAGACCAGAGAAGATCGCTACCGCGTGTTCTCCAACCGGTTCATGAAAGCCGTGCAGCTTGGATTAGAAAACGCGCGCAAAGAAGGCGGCGAGCTCGGACGGGCTTCTGCCGGTGCAACGAAGGTGTTGAAAGAAGCCAGCGCTTATGGAGTCGGACCTTGAATATCCATAGGATATTTTTTCTGTTACCCTTTTCGCCCACGAGGAACACATCGGAAAATTGCCTCGGCCATCAGGAGATGAAATGGCGTCCTTCCCCACGACGTCCTGGGCGACCTCGCTCGCTCAAAAATGGGGGTATTCTGTTCATACTCAAAAGCGGCGACTGCCGAGGCGCCTGAAGGAACCCCCGTCTGCCCTAAAGATGGGACCCATGAGATACTACGACTACGGAAGCGCGAGCCTGAGGTGTTTTAATGCAATCGAGCTCCATCACTAGTACTAATCCACCAGAGACACCAGAGAACTGTGGCGTTTGCCCGTGGCCGTCCACTGTCAGAGAAAGTCTCGGTATCCATATCACCTGGTCACTGTGATTGCCCAGACCTCCAGATGTAGATAGCAGAACAGAGAGAGATAAGACAAACCATCAATTGGATCGATGCAATTAAATTTTGTGCGATTTTTACTCGGGAATTTTTTTTTTCTTTTTTTGTGTGTTGGCCGATGTTCACAAATGACACGGATTATGCTTCAGAATGCAAAACAGGCATCCAGAAGATCTGGAGACGTCCACGATCATCGCATCTCAAGGCTGGGAACATGAGTTCGCTATGAAAAGTTTTATCAGTCAGTCGTACGACGGCTCATCACTCCATGTCTGAGCTTCTCAGGGGCGCCGGTCACTGCTCTGTGTGATGGCTCTCCCCGACGCAGATGGAGGCAGACGCAAAGCTCGTCTTTCTAATCTCCAACCTATGATAAGCAAGTTGCCCCAAGTTCCCCAAGCAAATCACTTGTCTTGGATGGATCTCAACCCCTGCCAGAACTGGGGCATTTCTTATCAACGGTCTATCTGTGCAGGGAGCAGAGAGATACGACACGGTGATTTCTTGCTGTATCGGAACACAATAGAAGCGGATCCAGGGATTATGCCTTCAACTGGCGCCTGACTGCACGACCTGCCGATCCTATTTAAGTAGACCAGAGAATTGTCCGAGGGGGAGAAAGAAAAGTGTGATCTGTCTACAATTACATCATGAGCTTTGGAAGCCCCCTTGCCTAAGGAGCTTTAATGCGAACGATCCTGAGCAAAGGACCCAAGCGTTCAAATTAAGCGAGAGAGAAAGAGAGAATGAAAAGAATACAGAGGCCGAAGCTCCAGGTGAGCCAGCCGAAATCTGCGTTTGCAGAGGGCAATGCTCGCTGGACAAACCGCGATCTCGACCCTATCCCTCGACAGATGCGGAAATGGGGAGCAATGAGCTTCATCGGTATGAGTTCTTTGAACATTTGGATGATATAGAGGTCTGTTGTAACGCGATCAATTGATTTTTTCCTTTTCCCTCGGTTTAGCGTACTGGATTTCCGATGCCTTCAACGTCGCCACATGGGAGTTCGCCAGCAGCATCATCGCGGTTGGACTCTCGTATCGCGAAACGCTAGTCATCGTGGCGATCTCCTTCTTCATCATCTCCTTTGTGATCTCCGGCAACGGCGCGGTGGGCGCCATCTACCATGTTCCGTTCCCCGTCATCGCTCGTGCCAGCTGGGGGTTCTGGGGGTCGTACATCCCGATTATATCACGGGTGATCCTGGCGACTTTCTGGTTTGCGATACAGAACGTCAACGGGGGCAATGCCGTGGAGGTGATGATCGGAGCGATCTGGCCCAGTTTCCTGAAGCTACACAACGCCATCCCGACCAGCCAGGGTATCACGACCAGCGGGATGGTGTCGTACTTCATCTTCTGGCTCTTCCAGCTTCCGTTCCTGTGTGTTCATCCGAATAAATTACGCTGGCTGTTCATGGCCAAGTCTATCATCGTGCCCATTGCCTGGATCGCCGTCCTGATCTGGGCTTTTGTCTCTGAGGGAGGCGGCGCCATCTTCGACGAGAAGACCACCATCAAGGGATCTGCCTTCAGCTGGGCCTTCCTGGCCAACATGACTTCGGTGTTTGGAAACTATGCCACTCTGAGCGTGAATCAGGTAAGAGAATCTTGACATACATAATAAGTAGCTCCCAAAGGGCCCCCTTTTGCTGACTACTGCTATTTTTGTAGTCTGATTTCTCACGGTACTCGCGTGTCAGCCCCCGCTGGCAACTTCTCTATGTGCCCATGCTCCCCATCATCTTCACCTTCATCTGCTTCGTCGGCGTCGCCGCCTCATCCGCAGGTCAAGCACGGTACCATCTCGCCTCGATCCCGTGGGACCCGACGGTACTCATCAGCTACTGGTCCAGCCGGGCGTGTCGGTTCTTCGTAGCAGCGTCCTTTGTGCTCGCCTCGCTGGGCGTCAACATCTCGGCCAACTCGCTCTCGGCAGCCAACGACTTCACGGCCCTCGCGCCACGGTACATCAACATCCGGCGCGGACAGATTCTGTGCGCGCTGCTCTCGTGGTGTCTGGTACCCTGGAAAATCCTGGAGTCGGCGGGCAGCTTTCTGAACTTCATGTCTGCGTACGCCATCTTCCTGGCGCCCATCGCGGCGATCATGATGTGGGACTTTTGGATCGTCAAGCAGCGCCGCTATGACTGCCTTGCCCTCTACCAGCCCTGGAGCCGGTACCAGTACGCGTACGGGGTCAACTGGCGCGCGCTGGTGGCTTTCGTCGTCGCTGTGGCGCCTTCTCTGCCGGGCCTTATCAACTCCGTGAACAGCTCGATCGATGTCGGGGTGGGGGTCCGACCCTACGACTTCGGCTGGCTACTGGGCTTCGTCGTTGGCAGTCTCGTCTACGTCGGGCTGTCGAAGCTGTTTCCCAACCGGGACACGCTGATCGAGCGTGGGGTCCTCCCAGATGAAATTTATGAGGCGCGGGCAGCAGTGATTGACGGGGTGGATGCACCGCCGCCACCCCTAGTCTCGAGTGACGAGGAAAAGGGCCGTCAATCAGATGCCATGGAGACCGATGAGATGCCAGAGAAGAAGGGATTCTGGAAGATAATGAAGAGTGTGGAGAAATATATATAGTGTCAAAATGCCCATAGTGTTGACCTATGCAGAATAATCGTTATATAATATCGGGTATCAGGAAACAAGAAGATTATATTGTCTATAGCCTAGTGTGTGTAAGGAGTTTCGCGGTATGTTTGCTGAGGAATCATGGTATCTCACTCTGGCAATTGCTTACTATCTCTTCGTACTGCCCACTGGAATACGCTGACAATGGCTCTAGCTCCATCTCTAATTCCTCCAGCTCGCGCACCTTGCGGCTATTCGCAATATACGGCTTCAGACCTTTGTCAAAATTCATAAGACACATAACCATGATGACAATTGTAATGACCGACAGCAGCAGGGCCAAAACCCCAAACAAGGTCAGGTTTAATATCGCTGATGAGTAATGCCGAGAGTACAGAGGAGTGTACATCTAAACAATGCTGTATAGAAGGAATCCCAAAAGGCCGACATGAAGCGTCTGGTTATTGTAGATGAATATTTTAATCTTAGACAAAACTGTTGCTGACTTACAATGACCCTAATACCAGCCCAGAACTGTTCCTTCTGAAACACCCAGGCAGACATGAAGAAAAGGATAAACGTCACGATAATCACGACAAGGGTGACAGTCCAAAGGATTATAAAGGGAGTTAATATGATATATTGGACCATGAATCCGAGGAAGAAGAAACCGTCGAATTTCAAAAGGGCCATGAGAAACTTAACGACGGTCATTCATCGCCCATGGCTCTAGTAGGTCCTAGGGAGGGTCTTACCTGGAATAGGTAGTACTTTCGACGCATTTGAATATCCGCATTCACTTGCTCAAAGGCCTGCCAGGCAAATTCGTGGTAAAGCCTCCAGCTTGCCACGCAGAGGATGAGGGTTGATGCCGCCTGGACTGTGCATATCGCGATGGAAAGACCACGAGCAGTCTGCCACGCATTGAATCCCAAGAACCCATCGTTAAAGACTACCATGAATATAGGAGTCTTTAAAATGCGAAAGACTAGGCTCATATTGACTGAAACCACCATCAAGTAGTATGACAGGCCGAGCACTTGGATAGTGCTGCGCTGCGCCAGCGTGTTATAAAGCAAGTACACCTCGTACACGGAGCTCAGCAGCATCGAACTGAAGACCGTGGGAATGACAAACGAGGAAGTTTCGTTTATATTCTGAGAATTCAAGCTGCCGTATTCGTTCATATCCTCGGGATCTAAGCTGCTGTAGTAATAAACGAAGAGAATCCTACATGCTCTGATCAGTCTGCGAACTGTAGCGGCATCAATAAACAACTTGAACTTTACGCTTCAAGCACCAAGACAATCGTGATGGCTATATAAGCGTTGAGAAAGAACACCCATGTCCATAGCGAGTTCGGCCGATACAGCCTGGTGCTTTCAGCTTTTGGTTGGAAATAAAATAAGAGCGGAATGGAGAGAGGTGAGCTGAATGGTAACTAACTAGACAACTAATCAGTCTATTTAGTTGCAGCTGAACTATCTTACCTCCTCTATGTATAGCATATAAGGCTGTGCGGTTTTTTGCTTCTTAAATTGTCGGCTGCATAGAAAGAGGGATAAGAAAGTGAGCTGAACAGGCCGTTCTGGTTTCAGCCGCATGAGACAGCGCAAACATGTCAGCCTGACTGCCTTTTCTTTAATAGGAGAGAGATATCAGAGAGCAATTCTCAGTCCAACCTCAGTTGGTACTTACCTAACAAAGTTGGGCCGTTGAGCTTGTCGCCATGTCCAGTCAAGCCTGCCAGCAACGGAGCACCCTCAACATCCTCTGGAGCTGCGTATCAACCCTGCTTCCTCTGCGTCTGGTCAGCCATGCACCCGAATATCCCCATATCATTGGCAATGGCCAGGGAACTACTGGAGAGACTTGGCCTGATGGTGGTGGCCGTCATCTGCCCAGAGATGATCATCACCGCTGCGTGGAGCCAGAGGAGACAAGCTCTGCAGCTCCTCAAGGATATCGATCTAACGGGAGAAGCATATCCCCTCTCCCAAACACAAACACCCAGCCCTTGGGCCTTGGAGCAGGCAATGTTTGCCGTCATGGGCGGGTTTGTCGTTGACCGACGTTTCCAGCCGACTCTCACCGGGAAGGAAGTGGTTCTCCGCCGTCAGGTGACCGCCGAGGATGTCTCCTTCCTCGCCAGAACAGGACTGCTTCCGAACCTCAGTGTGCAAGACGTCCAGGAGCGCAGCAACGCGGACTTTTTTGCCAAAGAAATCGTCCTGATACAGATCCTGTGGTTTGCCATCCAGGTTTTCGGTCGTCTAGACGAGCACCTGCCCGTCACGCTGCTGGAGACGCATACCATCATCCACGTCGGCTGCGCCTTTGTCATGTACGCCATCTGGCTCCGCAAGGCGTACGATTTGAAACTCTCCATCGTCCTCACCGGGGAGCACACAGACTGCGTTCTGGCGTTGCTCCCCTTCTATGAAGTCTGCTCTACCATCCAGAAGGCGGATTGGCAGCGTTATCAGACGAGTCGGATGGAGTACTGGCAGGGACGCGCCATTCAGGCTGCACGCGGCTTTACTGGACACAGCGCTCCGCCCCGTCCTCCCGCCAGTAGGGCATTGGCGGTTTTGATCGAAGATTTCAGCAAGGGACATGAGGATAATGTGGATCAGGACTACAACCGGAAAATTCTCTACCAGCTCGCATCGGAGGCCCGTCGCGGTTTCCAGCTTCTAGAAGCATAGGGGTGCGATGAGTTCCACTGTGCGCTAGGTGTCTTGAAGCCGCTACGACACAGTGCAGAGAACTTTGCCATCCGCAACGTCTGGGGCGGTTGGAGCGCAGATGTCGGACACGATTTCTCACTCGACAAGGGGCTCCACGTTGCGTTCAGTGTGCTGTATAGAGGCGCTCATCTGGCGGCCTGGTCATCGCCCTTCCCTACCACCATGGAGCGTGTTCTGTGGCGTATCTCGGCACTCGCTCTCACGACGGCACCGGTCTGGGGCCTGCTGTGGGTTGGCTGGTGGCAGCTTGCCCGCTGAGAAAAACAAGGACGACGCAGGCTCCGGCCGATCTCGTCCTAGGGATTAGACGGGTATATTGGGCCGCTGTTTGTTGTCATTTTGATGCTATATAATCTGGTATGATGCTGATTTCTTGTCGAGGCACTCGCCAGCCTTCGGGATCTCCCTGAATCGGCGCATCAGACTGTGGATTGGACATCTGTGATTCCTCATATCTCATGACGGAATCAAAATCAGATTCTGCACCTACATTAGTCAAAGATCTAGACTATGGTAGTACCTACTACCTGCCATGGCAAAACTCCAGGGGCATCTGGTAAAAGAGATTCTTGCTGTGTATCAGGAACTTTCAGGAGATGGTCCTGTTGAAATAATGAGGTCTTTGATATTGCCGTCCTGCAGCCAATCAGATTCGGTATATTTTGGAACCCGATTAATGAGCAAGTATTTCAAGCCAATCATAACACAGCCAGCTAATCGCAGATCTAGACAGACATGCACCTCCTTTCAGTGTTGAAACCAAGGAAATCCGATGTCATCATCCTCTGGACTTTCTCGGGATCATCTCTAGAGCCACCTCGGTGCTGCCCTACAACCACTAGTGAAGCTGCAAGTCTCCGACTGTGCTACGGACTGATGCACTCGTATTCGTATCAGATGAGCTCTGCAATTTAGCAGCCTGATGACGCTTCCACAACCCCAGCAGCAGCACTGAGGTGTGACTATATGAAGCGAGTCAACGAGGAAGAAACACTACCTCATTCTTTTCTGTATGCCTGAAGAACGCGTCCAAGAAACGGTTCATGTATCAGTACCAGTTGGCTGATCTGAATATCAGTTTAGTTAATATATACGAATACCATTACTGATGATCCATCCTATAGTCCTATAGTATGTAGTTATATGTAATACTATCATAGTCTAACCTGACTCACTGTATTTCTATATATAGTAGAACAGTCAAGTATTCATCTGCCTAATATTATAATATAAAGAGTCAGTCAGGTGACATTATTAATCTGAATCTCATGTGACCACAGAAGAAAGCTCAAGGCTGGGAGTCATAGAGAAAGTCCACCCATCCAACTCACCATGACTCATTCTATTGTCTATTTTAACCAGGTGACGAGCTGATTGGAACCAAGTGGCTGCCTGGAACCAATCAGCGCCAGTCCATGACAACTCTCTACGACATGTGGGCCGATGGGGATATTTTCTAGTCGTTGATTGGTTGAATAAATTGAGTGGCGAGGGTCGCCTGGCTTAATTTGTGCAGGGTGGAGACGATTCCAAGTTGTTGAGTGGCTGTGTTAGTCAGTCACTGGTTAGGAGGTCCACTATCTACCTTACTAGGATGGTGTGGTGGCAAGTAGGTAGTCATAGTCATGTTAGTCGTAGTAGCAGTAGTAGTAGTAGTATGGCAAGAAGAGATATGGATATGATATGATAGTGAATAGTGTATTATCTAGTAATCTTCAGATGATACTAGATAGGAGGGAACATATCATTTTACCGACTAATATTGTTTACTATCTAGGTACCTAGTTAACTGATAGCTACGGTTGATGCCCTGTCATACCACGCGTGGCAGGGCTTCGGAACCACCCGGAGGTGTAGGCCTAGTAACTATGTAGTAGTAGTAGTAACTAGTACTCGGAGTATACCGTACTCACTGATCATTACTTAGGTAGAAGTTAGGAGAATTTATGAGAATTTAGGAGAACTTAGGGAGCTACCACTCTTCTATCATTATGGAATCTAGTATTGTCGAATTATTCTGTCATCAACCTGATCATCGGTGCTGCCTGCCTGCCGCGGTGGCGCCTCGGCTGCAATGTCGGTCGGTTGAGAGATACGGACTGCCTAAGAGTACCTAGTATCTACCTACTAGGTAGGTAGTGAAGGTCTATCTGTGGTAGTATTATTCTAGGCAGTTAAAACTAATTTTGTAGTACTATCTGCTGTACACTATGAGTATACCCAACCGCCTAAAGTGGTCTGCATAGTTAGGTACCTGTAGGTAGTTACGAGAGTACCTAGGTACTTGTCGTAGTACCTACTCATAACCCAACCATAAGACAGGGATTAATATCATTTCCTACTTATTGAATACTCATAAAACTGCTCGATATGGATAGTATGATTACTATTATAATACTGTAAATAATATGTGCAGAGTTTTTTATGCTGGCATCCATCTATAATAAAATAATTAGATAGGACCAAGTTTCTCTCCATAAGTCTAGTACCATTTACATACCATTTAATCTGAAATAACCTTGTAATAATAACTCTATTAGTGATGAAGAGAATAAGGTACTCTGTACAGTATGGACAGTGAGGTCTTCGTGCACGTATCGAAGGAGTCAGAGTCATACCCGCATCCGTCCACGCCTGCCTCCTCCTCCCTCTTACTTTTCCTCCCGCCTCTCTCTCTTCCCTTTCTCTCCTCTTCTTCTTCCCTTTCTCCTCTCCCAGCCCAGTCCAAATGGCTTTCTCATACTAGCTCCTGGAGCGACCCTTGAGTCCATCCATTTTTCTTCCGTCTTTTCCTCCTCTTTCCCCCCGTTTTTCCCTGCTCCTGCCTCGTCCTCCTCTCCTCTCCGCCACTTGTTCGTTCCTCTTCCCGCCCGTAGCCTGTTCCCCTCACGATTTTGCCTCCTGGCCCTGGCTCTGCGACTTCTCTGTCTATTCCCCGCCACCCGCCACCGGTCAAACCACCGTTCCCTTTTTTTAATTTTTTTTTATCCTTCTCCGAGTGAGTAATTTCCTTAGCCGTGGGCCGATCAGCGGCGCGAGAGCTGGTCGCTGGAGCCTCGCGAGTGCCTGCCTACCGTTGCTCCGCCCGCCCCCCTCCCCCAGGCAGCGCTCTTCTTCGTCTTACGTTCGTTGGGAGTCATACTCTCCTACCTTGGGTACCACTCTTCCTGTTATATTCTCCTTCCAAAACCGAGCCTTCACATGATATTTGCGATTTGGGTTGCTGACTCCATTCTTCTTGTCCACTTTTGCAGCCTGCTTGAATCGCCCCGTCGCTCGTCCCTGGCCACCATTTAGCCACCACCGCTACCACAACAACAATAATCACCTGGTCGGGATTCTAGCTTGACTGCCTGACGAGCCCTCTCGTGTCTCGTCCGACCGTCAGCCAGGTCTCTCGTCTCTGTTATACACTGCCTGTTGCCTCAAGATGTACCATCGCTTTCCCAAAGCCTCCGTTCCGATCGCCCGTGTCGCCCATTCCCTTCCAGATCTCTACAAGACTGCCGTCGACTCGGAGTAGATCTTGTCTTCTACCCCCTGCCCTCGATATCGTTCTAGATCTTCTGGAAGCTCTGCACTGGCGATCGGAATCGTCTCTGACTCAACAGTCTACGATTCTGGTCTCTTGACTCTTACCTGACTCTGACTCTGACTATAACTACCTACCTACCTCGCCGCTTGTACACCACTACCCCCTCTTATACCACCCCTTCCCACACGCTCTCGAACTTTCTCAAGCTGGCGTGCTTTCACATCTAAGGCATACCGTCGCCTGTGAATACAAGACGGTCACCCATCTTATCGGTTTTTCGTTCACGGTCTTCTGCACAACGGTCTACACTCCCCCGGTTTAAAAATCGACTATCCCTGTATCGATCTGGTGATTTGACTCCGATCGGTGACTTGACATTTCATATCTTAAAAAAAGATTTTTTTTTTTGACGGTCAGTCACTAGACTTGACAAAGGTCCCGGATATGTCAGGGATGGACGTCTTGGGTTTGATGTCAAACCCCAGCATACACAACAAAGTGTCCCATGCGCACCCCTACGCCTCGGCGATCTCCTCTTCCGCTTCTTCCTCCTCTTCCTCCGTCTTCTCTCTCGATGGCCTCTCCTCCCAGGGCTCCATCTCTTCCGTCTCCACGAATCCGGTCGATGTGATCTGGGAGAATGAGGGGGAAATGGCGGCTGCCCAGTGCCCTCGTGGTGCTGTACCTGCCAATGTGGCCAAACTGGCAGAGCCTACGGTCGCACCCGAATTGCGCAAGCATCCTCGGCGCACCAATAGCTTTGTCGTCCAAGCTAACGGCACCCTCAGTGCGCGTCCTCCGCCCTGTCTGCTCCGTCAGTCGGACCGGAAGGTCAGCTTTGTTGACAACCTCGTCGGTAAGTCTTTGGTGTGGTGTGAAATATTTTCTCTCTCTCTCTCTCTCTCTCTCTCTCTCTCTTGTTCCAAGCTGAGCTGTTTGTCTTGTTTTTCTTTCGCAAATAAAAAGACACCGCCTCTCAGATTGTCGAAATCATTTGGCCCTTGTCCGCCGTTGCCATGCGCAGCGATTCCGCCACGGGCTGCAAGGGCATCCTGCCGCTTCGCACATTCATCCAGGAGACGCTCCGCCGATCGCGCACGAGCTATAGCACCTTGCAGGTGGCTTTGTACTACCTGATCAAGATCAAGCCTCACGTTCCCAACCAGGACTTTACTAGGGAACAGCGGCGCGAGAAGCCCCTTGGCCGTGCGATGCAGTGTGGTCGGCGCATGTTCCTGGCTGCCCTGATTCTGGCATCCAAGTACCTGCAGGACCGTAACTACTCCGCTCGTGCATGGAGCAAGATCTCCGGCCTGAACACGCTTGAGATCAATCAGAATGAGCTGATGTTCCTCGAGGCCATCGATTGGCGCCTGCACATGCCCGACGCTCTCTTCCAGCGCTGGACTGAGATCGTCCTCCGCTTCACCCCGGGCGCCGGCGGCGCTCCCCTCGCCGAGGGCCACTGCTGGCGTACCATTCTCCCGCGTCTGACCCCGGAGCTAGATACCCTGGATCTTTTCCTCCCTTCGATGAGCCCGGTGGCTGGTCCGAGCAGCAGCTTCGATGTTGGTTTGATGGCTGATACGCCGTCGCCCCGTAGCAGCAGTAGCAGCGATGCTGCTCCCAGTCCCGTCTCGTGCGAACAGACAATGCCCGCTGGCGGCCCCCGCGCTTTTCCTCCGATGCCTTCCCTTGTTCGGCCAGGAATGCTCCCGACGCCGCAGCTGACGCCGCGGTCGGTCCTCACCACGACTCCTGCAGTGAGTCTTGGCGGGTTTCCTCCGCGTGGGACCTCGATCGGTGCCGCCATGTCGCAGGCGCAGAGTCTCTCTCTGTCGCGGTCAACGCTCGACCAACGGCCGCCGCCGTCGCTCACCTCGTGTCCCAAGGCGGGGCCCTCCTCCTCCTTCGAGGGCTACTACCCCACCATGGTTCGCCGGTCCTCCTTGGCTCGGTCAACCTCATCGGCCTCCTCGCCGGAGTCAATGGTGTCCGACGTGTCCACCCTATCCTCGCGCTCGTCGCGCTCGTCGCGCTCGTCGTCCATCTCGTCAACGGCCTCGGGCAACTGTGCGCCTGTACCGCCGCGTCTGGCGGTCCAGGCCACCCGGCGATGCGCTAACGCCTCCATCAAGGAGGCCCGCAAGCCGCTCGCCATTGCCTCTCCCATTGACGAGACCTCGCTGGGCGAGGTGTACCACTCTCCTGGTGACTATACGGGTCCGGTCGGCCCTGTTCCAGACCTCTCCCACTTCTCTCTGGGCACACCCGTGGATCTGACCCCCTCGGCGCATGAGGCCGCCAAGAGCTTGTGTGAGCTCTCGGCTGCTGCCGTCGCCACCACCACCTCCACCATGCCTCCCGCCACTGCAACTACCCAGTCAAATGGACACCAGTCCACCACCGACGTGCGGAGATGCCGGAAACGTGGTCGCACCGGGTCCGACGACCTGCTGTTGCAGCATCATGTCCGGCATTTGATCCAGCTACATGCGAATCGCGACAGCGCCGTTCTTCCTGACGGCTCACTGCCTGCCTCGTTCCTGATGTCCGAACCGCATCAGCCGCAAGCCGCCGTGTCGGCGCACTCCCTGAACCCGATCCGGCTGCCTCCAGTCCCTCTGTCTGGACCGATTGGTATGAAGCGCGCATGCTGCGGCAGCGAAGCTCGCCAGATCGCACTACACTCGGGACTGCGGCCTGGCTTCATGAATTAGAATTCAGATCCAAGTTTTCTTTCCCCCTCCCCCCACAATCCATTTCACTACCCTACCGCTTTGTTTTCGATTTTTTTTTTTTCTTTTCTTTTTTTCTGATATAGAAAAAAAAAATTCCAGACACTAAGCGTTGAACTTCTGTACATCTATTCAATATGGTGTCGGATCATTTTCTCTCATTGTTTCCCCCTGTTTTTTATCTTTTTTTTTTTTTTTTTTTTTACTTGGGAGCCGGGCAGCCAGCAAAACAAAAGCACCCGACGGGTTTCGTTTCGCAGTGATCTTATTCTCCGGAGCAGACCGGTCGACTGTATATACCCTGCTGTCTTTATTTCTTTTGTTCCGGGCCCTGGAAAAGGACGTGTTCTACTACTGTCTCTTACCCTCCGACGCTGGCTGCAAACCTGGCTCCCTCCGATCGGCGGTTGGTCTCTCGCGAAGAGGAGAGACTACTGGCCATGTACGATGTATCTTAAGGTGGACCCTTTCCATCTTTGCGATTTGTTTCCCCCCTTCTTGTTCAGTGTTTGTTTTGTTCTATTTCTTGCCTTTTGATTTACGGAGTGCGGGCCGGGGTGGGCGTGTTCGATCACAATATATCATCATACGTTTCAGCGTGGACTGGACGAGGTTTGAACTTTGCAACTGCAGGATGGGCATTGAATGTACCCTGCCTGCAGCTTGCAGGGACGGAGCAGGAGCATGGCGCATACCAAATAATCTAGTATCTACTACCCTAGTTACTTACCTTACACCTTAGTTACAATCTACCTACTACTACTACTACTACTACCACCACCACCACCTCTAGCGTTGTACTTGTTCTCTAGTGGTACAATAATGTACTTCTAGTGCCAGAGCCGACCTCTCAAATGGCCGCTGAGTGGTGCCACCATAGGCAACAAGTCGCTGTCATGCCCCGCCCGACTCACCGCACCACCACCGCAAGTCCGGTCAACGAGGAGCGTGACCATCGGTGAGCCCATGTGGTACAGCAGGAGCAGCAGCAACCAAACCATGGGTACGAAGTACGACGTCGAGGCGTTGACCGGTACACCAGTTGACCAGGAATGAGTCATAGGATTATGGCGAGACACACAGACCGGAGGAGGACCGGAGGAAGGTCGGATGAGGCCGGAAGCGAGGAAGGGACTTGCTAGCCGGTTGAGGACTAGCCCCGCGGACTAGCTCGATCAGATAAGATCCAACTCCGCTGATAACTTCTGCACGACCTGCAGGAGTTTCGACCGTCCACTGTTTTCCTGTGCAGTCTCGTACCTAGGTGCATATAGGAGAGACAGACGAGAATTAGTCTATTCAAGAACGAACTTTTCAGAATCTTCAATTCAAAATGAAGGCTTCCTTGGTCTTCCTCTCCGTCCTCACCGCTGCCTCTGCAGTGCCCCTCCACCCCCCACAGATCCAGCTCAGCACGGAGAACCCCCATGAGCAGGACGTCGGGGTGATGACCCGCCCCTCGTGGTTCACCTCCACCCTCATGGCCCGTCGTATGCTCGCACTGTCCACGACGGGAAGCGTGTCTACCATTTTCCCTGCCCAGGACTCCTCCCTCGTCCATGAACATCATGCCAAAGGCGAGGGCAAACACGCCAAAGGCGAGGGAAAAGCCCACTCTAAAGGCGAGGGTAAAGGCAAGGGCAAAGGCAAAGGCAAAGGCAAGGGCAAAGCCAAAGTTCACGGTAAAGAAGAACAAGGACAAGGAAAAGCTGGAGCATGGGCCACCCCCCCCGAGGTGGCAGGCCAATCGGTCGCGCTGAGCGAGTACATCGCCGATTGTTCTGCCGAGGCGAACGGTGATCCGACATTTCTGGGCCTCCGGATCGGGACGACTTTCCGGAACATCGCAGCTGGGTCGAACCTCTCGCTTTCGATCGACTGGTGGGATCACCTCGACCAGACCGAACCGGTGTACCCTGGTTTCCCCATGAGTGAGGCCGGGTTACCGCGGATGACGCTATTCGGGTACCTGGAAGAATACGACGAGGTGGAGGACGCAGAGCAGCTGGAGGCCATGACGAGCTGTTACCTCGCTGCCCATCCGGATGCGAGCGCCTGGCTCCCCGGTGCCAAGTATAGCCCGCACGCTTCCTTCTGGGCGCGCATGGTCGTCGAGAAGGTCTACTGGCTTGGTGGGTTCGGCGATCTCGCCCAGATCGGCTGGATGGATGTCGACGATTGGCGTGCTATCCGGGCCGATTCTTCCAGTGTCGGAGATGGTAGGGGTTGGAAGGATGTCCGCTTGCCAGGGGAGGAGCAGTGATTTTTCTCCAACCATCTAGTATACGTATCTACTCTGTACCTACTCTGATGTACTTCCAGTGTGTGGGTATACTCCGATGTACTCTCAGTGTGTGGGTATACTCTAATATACTCTCTCATTATCTGTCTCGGTGGTCACTTTCCATCCTGAATTACACACAGGAGATATTTGCGATCAGGAACAACCACAATCTCATGCCTCTTGCTCCGTAGCCGCAGCAGCTTCAGCTCTTCCCAATCCCCCTCCCCGTCTCCATCCCCGTATTCTTCCCCTTCCACCTCCCCCCCGTTTTCCCCTTCGCGCGAGCCGTTCGCGCCCGTCGTCGTCGTGCTGGGCTTTGCACCCGGGTGTGAAAGGCAGAGGCTCAGCTCCGACGCGCTGCGCACGTAGCTGAAGATATGTGCCGCGAGCGTCTCTGCTTGACTCGGTCGGTAGGCTGTGGTTGTGGTTGTGTTGGGGGTTGGATTGGTGGGCGAGAGGGGTTCGGTGGTATTATTAGTAGTAAGGTTTGGAGACGCTGGACTAATCGTTGGATCAGGCGTAGGCGTAGATGTCGACGGCGTTGATGTCGCGTTCTCTGCTAATAACCCCGTACACTGAATAATCGAACCATCTTTCCGTGAAAGGATCAGCGTCGACTGCACGCCTGCTCGCGAGGTGAGGTGGGAGAGGAGGGTGGTGACGTGTTGCGGCACCTGGGACTGTTAGCGAGGCTTCCAATTTCCTATCCTCCTGATCGACCGCTTACAGAGTTGGGCATTTTCTCTGGATTCGATCCGGGTTTTCTCCTTTATTTGGTGGGACGGTTAGGTCAGAAGGTGTGTGTATTTACATCAAGCTGCGCGAAGACTGAGGCTCGCGGTCAACAATGACGATGCTGACTAAGCAGGCTCGACTGGACTCTACAGAGTAACTAGATACTTACTCTTCTACTCTTGTCTACATCTAGGCATCCAGACACTAATAATAATGATTGACTCAATTAACTAAGCGGACCAACCTAAGGATAATAAAAGTATAGAACAGAATGGTATCGTGATAAAGCACAGGGGAATAAACAGGTAAAGAATTGAAGTGGAAGTTCGGAAGTCAGTCAAATGAAGAATCAAGAAGAATAAAAATCATGGTAACAAGCAATAGACTACCGCAGGCTCGAGCGGCGCGACCCATCCGACGGCCATCCCATCTCCAGATCCTCAATCATATCCTCCAGTGCCTTGACGTCTGGGATCCCCGAGCTGGTTGTCGCATAGCTGTTGCGCATGCTACTGTTGTCCGTGCCAACCCAGCTGCTCGGCCGTTGGTAATGGTGTTGCTGGTGAGATGGTTGGGCTAGTTTCTCGCGACGGAGCTGGCGGGTATTGTAGGGGGCGGATTCGTGCTGATAATGGTGTTGCTGCTGTTGTTGATGCTGGTGGTGGTGGTGGTGTTGCTGCTGCTGTTGATGGTAACGATCGACCGAGCTGGATGAATTGTTCATGCTCATGTTCATTGGCAAGGAAGAGGAAGAAGCGCCAAAGGCCGGTGCGCCAGCAGCCAGCGGCGCAGTGGCAGCTAGTAGCGCGCTGGTAGAGCCACTTCCTACATTGACGTTGAGCGTTGCAAACAGGGCGGCCTGCAGGGCCTGGTTTTGGCGTTCCAGCTCGGCGATACGTGCCTCGAGAGAGCGGATCACCTGTGCAGAATGCAGCCGGTGCGAATGTTGCGAATGTTGCGACGACGACGGCGACGACGGCGGTGGCTTCTCCAGACTCTGGTTGCTGCGTTTGTTGCGAGGCGTCAGGGGAGCCACAGGGTTTTCCACAGGCTTTCTGCTTCGGGGCATCGCCTGCTGTGTGCCAGGTCCATTACTGACGGGAGCCCGGTGCTTAGTGTGTCGGGATCGGGTATTACCGTCTCGGTCTGATGTCCGCCGCTGCTGTGGCTGCGACGGCAGCTGCAGGCGCGACGTCACATGCACACCGATGTTCGATGCCTCGTCATCCGAGGAGGGCAAAGACGGCGAGTCGGATCGTTGACGGCGTTGACGACGTTGCTCGTGCGGGTAGCGGACCGAAGCACTGCGCATGCTACTGCTGCGGAGCACAGGGTTGTTGCCGGGGGAGTCCGGGGCTGCAAACGCAGCAGCCTCGGACGAGGTGACGGAGCCGTTGGTGGCGACAGAGAAGTTCCGACCGCTTACCGACCGTCCCCGTCCATGAAGGCGCGCAGCTTCACCGGAAGAGGAGTGCGATTGAGGTGTCTCTGGCGGCGCGATGCTTCGGGAACTGCGGCGGTCCGACTCGGGCAGCGAATCCGCCTCCTGGTGGGAATGGTGATTCCGTGCATGCCGTGCATCCCGGTTCCCTTGAAACGATACCCGGGGAAGCACAGGCGACTCTTCGATGTGCGGGGGGTACTCGGCTGCGGGGGGCGACTCGGGCTCTTGTAGAAAGATCCGACTGTCCGAAATGTCTTTCATTCGCAGAGCTCGCACGCGTTCCGTCCGACTCTTGCGTGTACGTTCCAGAATAGACGCCTCGGATAAGTGCGCTGCACTTTTCGGCGTCGTCGCTTCGTCCCCCTTGTCCTCGATCCGGAGACGCGACGGCTGGTTTTTCCTTGGTCCATCGTGAGGGGCGGGTGTAGACAGAGGCTGTTCGCTCGGTCGAACATCAAGCTTTTTGAAATTGGCTGGCTGACCACCCTGAGGAAGGGGAGGAAGGGGAAGAGAAGGAGGGGGGTTGCTGGGCATGGAATGGCCACCCTGGGGAAGAGAAGGAGGAGGAACAGTGGGCGTGGAATGGCCACCCTGAGGAGGAAGAGGAAGAGGAGCGCTGGGCGCAGAACTGGGTTCCGGCAATGATGGTAACGGTCTCATAGGTGCCGGTAGAGGGAACCCGTTAATGGTTCCTATCTGGAAGGAAACCGGTCGACGGTTGGGTTTGGTCTGCGAACCTCTATCATGCGGCACATTGGCTCGAGCCTTCTCAGCCACTGCGGTGGCAGGCCGGAAGCCCGATGAAGCAGACATGGTGGAGCCTGGCGGTTGTGGTTTGGAACCCGAGTCGTCGTCTGCGGGTGGCGCTTGCGAAGACCTCTCTGGTACGACCTCTGTGGGCGTCGCGGATGTTGGTTTGGAGGTGACTGGCGGCGTTGGAGAACTAGGTCTGGCTGTGGGGTTTGAGGCGGAGGGACGCCCGCCGGATGAGGTTCGCCAGGCTATCTTGCTAGAATCGCGCGGGGGTAGAGGGTCTGGAAACAGCTTGAGAGGCATAGGGGCCGGGTTGGGAGTGGGTTGCGGCGCTGCAGGAGGCTTTTGGCTTGTGTCTCCTTTGCTCTCTGCTGGCTCAGAAGGCTCTTCCGGTATGGTCGATGAGGCTGCAGGATCGTTTCCTCGATGACTTTCCAGATTATCAGGGTTGACACTGGAGGCGGACAGGATACTGGTGAGGATTGCTTCAAAGTCTTCGCTTTGACGAGGATCGTTGTCTCGGACTGGATCCTGACTGTCCGCCTCGGGGGTAGGGCCGAGCTGATCGGTATTGGAGTCCTTCGTCAAAGGCCGATATGACGGGGGGACGATATCGCTATAGCCCGACGACAGCGAGACGGCGGCCTCGACAATGGAGCTGAAATCGCCCAGGTCCAATGCGGCCAGGACGTCCTCGTGTTGAGGTAAAGAGACGCTCACAGCCTTGCTTTCATTGCTGCTGGAAACGGGCCGCCGTTCCTTGCGATTGGAATGTTGGTCGAGCCAAGGCAGGCCGATTTCCTCGACGTCCTTACGGGACTTGGACCGCGACGAGTTGGAGTCGAGGCTTTTTAGGCTCTTCTTGCCCGAGGCCAGGGGCAGGAACCCCTCGCGCTGCAGGGCGAGAAGCTGGCGGGACTCGTCCTCGTAGCGACTGCTGGGGTTGCTGTCAGATTCTTCCTTTCTGCCCCGCTGGGACAGTAGACGGAGGCGCTTCTTGATCATGTCGCCGGCCCAGGAGGCCTGTGAGGAGGTCTGTGAGGAGGCCTCTGGCGACGACGATGACGACGACGACGAAGACGACGGCGGCAGCGGCGAGGCGACGTCACCAGCCAGACGAGCGAAAGGCTTTTGCGCGGACTCGATGGGCGGCAGCAGGTCCTGGTTATAGGGCGCAGCCGGGGGCATGCTGGAGCGTCTGCGTCGTCGAGCCGGCGACGCAGCGAGTGGGGGGTGTTGGGCAGGGCGACAGGTCGGCACGACGGGACTGGGGGCGGCTGCGTTCTCCTGCAGGCTCCTCCAATGATGATGATGCATCGAACAGGCCGGACACTGGACACTGCCGACAAGCGGTTGGCTTTCAAACGCAAGAGCGTCGCCGGGTGAGAGGTCACCATGGAGAGAGAGGACCGAGCTCGGGATCGGGTTGCGGTCAAACGAGTTTCGAGGCCAGCAGAGACAAACCGTTTGGGGATACGGAGGAGTAACGTGTCTGTCTACCTATCTAGTGGCGGTATAATCTCCGTTGCAAACCATCAGGAAGACGAATGAATCATTGCCTCTCTCGTCGTTTGTTCGGGGGATATGATATGCACGACTCGGGGCTGCAAGCAGCGATCGGAAAGACTCTCTGCCTTGTCGTGCAGCAGCCTGTCCTCCCCCCGTCTATCCTTCTCGTAAACAAAGAAAAACAAACCCCCCGAATTGAGTTCTTTTTTTTGTCCCCTCTTTGTTTTGCCTGCCCCCTCGAAAGAGAGAGAGACGGGGGGGGGGAAGGGGAAGGGTGGCTCTCCATCCAAGTAAATATACCTGATAAACGCGAGAGGTCCACGATTAACTAGAGATAGAGTTCCGAGCTTCTCCTCTTCTCTATCCAAAAAAAAAAAAAAAGGAATAATTCATTAAGATGACAGGTTCCTTGCCGAAGGTCGTCCTCCATTCAGCGTTTGTCAAGTGTACTCTGTACGGAACAAAACCTTGACGAATGTGCCTCCTCTGCCCCATGAGGCGATCTCGATCCACAGCTCCTCCCGGGGGACATGGGTATGTGCATGATAGTGGCGGTTTATGTCGCAGGCACTATTTACGCTAGATCTGCAGGAAATCTTAGATCAGTCAGTGGTGGCAGTAGGAAGTAGCAGACGGTGAAACCAGCTCGACTTACCCCAGTACTCAGGGCTCCAGAGTGGACAATCAGTACTCCGTAGACAGAGGATTCCTGGGATTCTTCGTACTGGTAGCTCCGCCCTGACGATCATGAAGTCATCGAGGCTGAGGGTGCAGAGTTCCTCATCTTCAGCTGCTGTTTCAAGCGGCAAAGTCCACGCAAGGGATGCCATAGTGTGTGAATTATTGGTGATAAATCCCCCCTTCCCCTCTTCTCTCTCAAGCTCGCCCAGGTGTCCTCAGGCTCTTTGAGTCTCTCCCAGGCTTCTAGGGGGGCACTAAAAAACTGCATTGGCCCACTGGAGGCCTGTAGCGTGAGGGAGGGAGTACGGAGTCGTACTCGATAGTGGCCTCTATCGATTTACCCGAGAGATCCTGGTAGCTGGAAGCCAATCAACGCGATCGACGCTGATCCCGGAGATCAGACGTGGCAGAGAAAGTGGGAGAGAGGTGAAGGTGTGTGGTCAGAGGAAGAAGGGGAGGGGAGAGGGAGGGAGGGGGAAAAGGAAGAGAAGTTTGGACTCGTCACAAGACGGGATCTGCTTGGGAGAGATGGCAACGCATCAGTCGATTGACAACAAAGAGGAAGACGAGGAGCGAACTTTAATTCAAACAGAGTAGACGGTCTTTGATAGAAATGACTCTTGATAAATCTTATTCTGTCGTACTTTGTACTCTGTACTCTGTCCACCATTGTACTCCAAGCTTTCAGAGTGCTCTCTTGAGTCGAGAGAAACTCCGTACAACCACAGACTGGTTCAATTTATTGTATATCATATTTCGCTGCTCTTAATTTCATCTCATCAACATTATAATGGCTTTCTATCTAATATTATAGTGAATTGGTGGGTGAGGCAGACTAGATATATATTCTATGGTCTCCACCATAGGATTCCATAACTGCAATAAACACAGAAACAGAGAGAAGTCGATTAATCTTTCTACAGATTTCTTATATATACAAGTCTAGTAAAAAGAACTGTCGTCTAGCTCATACAAATAACAGGGGCAGATGTAAAGAAAAGAAAAAAAGAAAAAAGAAAAAAGAAAAAAGAAACTCTTCAACGCCTGTTGATGCTAATGCTGACTGATATGACTGATAAGACAAAGAAAATAAAATGTAGATGCATCGTTTTATCGCCTCTTGGGCCGGATGAACGGGTCAGTCTCCTTCTTCTTGCGGAATGGGGGAGGGGGGCGAGGCTGCATCCCATTGCCTGGTCGCGAGCCCGGTCGAGGTGGTCCCTGATGAGGTCAGTAAGGAAAGTCATCTGAGATATAGGGGGACACGGTAGAGAATATCAAACTCACATTTGCTGACGGCGCCCGCGGACCAGTGGGCGGCTGGTTGGCGGGCGAAGCCAGAGGAGCATACGCTGGTCCATCGCGCGACGGCTTCACCAGGTCGCCGGCCGTCGGGGGCGGCTTCGCATCGAGTTTGTTGTACCGCGGGCCCTTGGGCGGCTGGTTCCCGGGCTTGGGATGTTTGGAATTGCGCGAAGGAGCAGCAGCCGCACCCTCCTGAGTGGGAGAATCGCTGCGTTTCCGTTTGGGAGGAGCTGTGGTGGTGGTGGTGGTGGTGGTACTGACATGAGACTTGTCGTCGCCGGTCGTCACCTGTAGCACAGGTACCTTGGGGTCGTGGCCGCCCAGTTGTCTTTCCCGTTGGCGTTCAACCCTTTGCTTCTGAAGCTGGGCGTGTCGATACTCCTCCTTACTGATCATCCCCTTCTCGCGCTTGGAGAGAGGACGCGTGAACTGGCATTCGTGCGGGGAGTGCCCGAATTGGCCGCACTCGAGGCAGCGCTCCTTGGTACAGTTGAACCGGCTATGCCCGACAGTCCCGCACCGATGACAAGTCCCGCGCGCAGCTTCTTTGGCCTCCACGTTGTCGCAGCGATGTGTCATGTGGGCTGCGCTGCCACAGATCCCACACATGCGAGTTTCATCGAGGCCGTGGGCTCCCCCGGAGGGTCCATCCGGCAAGGGGGCGGTAGGAGGGGTGTTTCTAGCCGAAGCCGAGGCCGAGACCGACACAGACACAGAGGGCGACGGTTCCTGTTCAGCGGCGGAAAGGTCTGTGCCTGCCATCTCCACATTCTTGTAGCCAGTGAACTGAGGCCGTTGCAGGATCTGGAGAACATCGCCATCCGTGTACACGTTCCGGGCCCGAGCGTCTGTGATGAGGCCGTTCCAGAATTCGCCCTGCACCAACGACTGCGAGTTACCCAGGACCCATAGCGAGGATTTAGCACGGGTCAGACCGACGTTCATACGACGGATGTCAGCCAGAAAACCGATGCCCTTGTTCGAGGCGCGCACACACGAGAAGATGATGACCTCGCTTTCGCGACCCTGGAAGGCGTCGGTCGTGTTGAAATCGACCGTGGTGAGGATGGAGTTTCCATACTTGGCTGCGAAGCGCGATTTCAGTTCCCGCAGCTGGCCCTTGTACGGGGTGATGATACCGATCTTGCCCGCAAAGTTGATTCCCCGGAAGTCCGTCGTGAGGCGCTCATACAGCTGCATGGCGACCCGCAGCTCGGCCAGGTTGACCAGCGAGTGGCCCTTGGCCGCGTTCTGGTGCAAGCCCTGCACGTCGAAGAACCGGTAAGGGCTCAGCAGCTCGCTCTGATGCCACGGCCGCGTACGTAGCTGCGCCATCTGGGGCCCGTCCTGCAGGCGGCCATCGTAGAACGCCGCACTGGGGAAGCGGCTGATCTCCGGGTGCATTCGATACTGTGTGTCGAGGAGATGCACGTCATTCGGGTGGTTGGCCTGCATACGGACGAACAGACTCTGCTCGTATTGAAACCTGGATGCGACCTTGGACAAGACCGTAGGAGGCAGCTGCTTCGGATCACCGACCAGAATGCACTTGGTACACCCGTACTTCAACGGGATCAGTGCGCCCAGTTCAATCGACTGTGCCGCTTCATCGATGATGACCGTCTCGAACACGGTGTTTAGACTCTGGAACATCTCGTGGCCACTGCCGCTGAGGGTGGCACAGATGACGTGCGCCCCGTCAATGATCTCCTGCTGGATGCGACGGCGCGTCAATTCCGCATCGCGAGCCGCCGTGTGGTTCTTGTCCCGCGCGTTGTCGACCTCCAGACTCAGCTGGGTACGTTTCTTCTTTGTCAGGTCAAACTCGCGGGCCAATTCTTCGGGGACAGGCAAGCCCTTGGCGCGACATTCATCTAATCGGGCGCGAGTCTCCTTGAATGCGGTATCGGCCGCTTTGTGTTCCATGTAGATCTTTTGCAGGTCTCGTTCTTGCGGACCTTTGCGGCCGTTCTGGTTGAGTCGACTATTGACCAGCTCATCCAGCGTCACGTCGAGCACGTTGGCGTTGATGGCATCGCTACGACCCAGGCGGAGGACAGACAGCTTCTCGTGTCGCCCGCTCAGGGTTTTTACACCCTCCTTCAGTCTCATCACCAGCTCATCCACCGCTGCATTACTAGGTGCGCAGACAAGAAGCTTCTTGTTGGTGGCAGGCTTTCCAGCGGGCCGATGGTGGCCTACTACGGTGGTAGTGGTGGTAGTGGTGGTGGTAGGTCGAGCAATGGCGACACCCTGGTCGACCAGGGAGCCGCTTAATAGACCTCCTACAAGGGCCACGATTGTTTTGGTTTTTCCCGAACCGGGCGGACCCTGGATCAGAGTGAAACCGTCGTTATCCAGAGCGGATTTGATGGCCTTGGCCTGGGCGGGATTCACGCTGTAGTTATCAGCAAGCGGTTTCAGGGTTGCATCGGCGTAGCGGAGGATGGGAGACGGCTTGGCCTCGGTGATCTCCGTGCAAAGATCGTAGAATTTGAGACCCATAAGCGCTCCATACTCGCGCTCCAACGGAGTCAGTGAGGTGATCTTCACACCCCAGATAGTGACGTTGGGGGCAAACGAGCTCATGAGGGAGTTGCCCGGGTTGACCTGAAAGGAGAGCTCAACGGATCCCTTCTTACGGTTGATGGAAGAGACCCGAGCCAGACAGTGCGGCGCTGCAGAGTCGGTGGCGGGGGTCCGCGATTTGGACAGGAGCACAATGTCGGCTTCTCCCAGGCCCAAGTCCTTGACGTCAGGCAAGGGCATGGTGACATTGACTTCGACGAACGAGTCCAGGGTGAGACGAGTGGCCACCTTGATTTCGAACGGCTTGAAGGTTCCTTCCTCCTTGGAAGCCTGGAAGCCCTGCCATGCTTCAAGAATCAAAAGGGGCTCGAAAGTCCTCTGGTACTCTTGGACGGTGCCAAATGTATTCGATACCAGACTGTAGTCGGTGCGCCCGGAGTGTGGTGGGAGATCACCGTTTGCAAAGAAATCCCAGCCGAGCAGGGTGCGGTGTAGGGAGGAGAGGTCCGGCGCCAGTCGAGCCCGCATGTCATTCGCAGAGCGGATCTGCTTGGTCTTCTTCACGGGGCCTTGCTGCTTGAGAGAGCGCTTCTTGCTCTCTTCGTACTCCTTGACGGCATCGGGCTGGGTCCGTCCTTTACCTCGCACCAGTTGCTCAATTTCATCCTCCGAGTCTGATTCATTCTCCGATTCGGAGGAGACCATCATACTCTCCTGAACAGGCGTGTGGTCTTTGCCCCGGATACCAATGCCTCTTAACCCGGACCCTTGTTCAGCGGTTTGCTCCGCAACACCAGCAAGACCCTTCTTCATGTTGGCCACCATGGCCAGGTCACGCTTCCGTTTTTCCTCCTTCTCCCTTTCACGCTTTTCGCGGAAGGACAAAACGCTCGCCTTTGGCTTCACAAGCACAGGGGTAGCGGGGCGAGAGATACCACCAGGAGCAGCTCGGGCGGCCCTCTCCGCTCGCTCCTTGGCCTCGGCTGCACGTCGTTTCTTGTTCAATTCTACAGCGCTCGAGAGACCGATGATGACATCGTCAAAGGCTTCTGAGTCTTCAAACTCCTCGCTGGGGAGTCTGGATACGCCCGACGTTGAGGAGGCATCCGCCGCCTTGGCGAAATCCGTGATATGGCTCTGCTTCTTGGATGAAGCCGTGACGGCAGTGACAATGGGTCGTCCATAGTAGGTTTCCAGGGACTTGACGAGCTTTGCCTTGTCGGTATCGAGAATGATGGTCCGGACGGTGCCCCTGTAAGCGACCCCCTCAATGTATTCTAGGGCACCTTTGTTGACCGTCGTCACCTTGAGTTCGCCGAGACGAGCAAGGATGCTGCAGAGCACGCTTGTGAGGGTGGTCGCCAGGTATTCATCCTTGAGGCGGAGCCATTTGACCATTCCATTCAGGGCCGAGGTCGGGAATTTGAGGAAGACCTCTCGGGCCGTCTGGGATTGATTCGGGTCCGCGTCGATGACGGCACTGATGAGGATCTCGAATTGGCTGAACAGGAGTTCGGCGAACTGGATAGTGTCTCGACAGAACTCCAGCATGGTGTTTTTGTGGTTGCCTCGTCGATGCCAGGATTCGGTCTCGTCGAAGATTGTCGTCACAGCCTGCCAGAGATACTCCCAGAGTTTCTGCAGCGACAGGATTTCCCGGCGATTGATCAGCTTACGGGTTCGCAGCAGACCAGTCTGGCTATTGCACAGGATATCCACGATGTCTGTGCCGGTGTAGATCATTCGCGGGGCGGATGCAAATGTCTTCATATTGGATATGCGGCGGAAGGACCAGGTCAGCCCGTACATGGTGGTGCTGAAGAACGTCTGCAGCAGATGCGAGATGGCGTCTCTGCGAGCCGACTGACCGCTCATGTTCTTGATGAGATCGACGGCCGCTTGGTAGGTGTTGGGATCGGCGGAAAACAGGGCGGAGACCAGAGCACTGCATGTGTCCTGGCTCTTGAACAAGTCGTTCAGGTGCTCTGGCTTGAAGTCGGCCAGGCGCTCGATGATCTGGCAGGAGAGGTGTGTCAGGTGATCATAAATGTCGTTGAAATTGGCCTCTTCTTTGGTCGAATCCCGAGCGAACCTCTCGAGACCCACGAGGGGCAGGATGCCGAGGAGGGCAGCTGTGGAGAGTGGCAGGTTGTCCTCGTGCAAGTGCAAGACGACCGCGTCCCAAATCTTAGCCGAGTAGGTGCTGACACCATGATGTAGTTCGTCCTCTTTGAGGATAGTTTCGTAATCACTCTTGAGGGACTGACATTCTAGGGCCAGCGTGTTACGAATCACATCCATACAAAGCGCCGAGAGGGCTTCCTGCCGGCTCTTCTCGATGTAAAGGTGCGGAGGGTTGATAATGGTGATGATATTCTCGCTGACCAGCTCCAACGCCTCGGACAAGGTGATGCGACCAACCGATCCTCTCGAGGATTCGTTGTCTGTAAAATGCCGCAGCAACTGTAGTAGAGTGTCCAAGGAAACATCAAAGCAGTGATACCGGACCAGATATGCGTAGCGTTCATCTTGGGCAATACCCAGCAGATGCTTGAGCAGGATCCGACAGGCAGCATTCCGCTGGGCAACCGTCAAGGATGCCATGAACGGCTTTATCCACGACAACATATCCTTCAACGCAGACTTTTCATAGGGCTCATCCTCCGCGGTGTCCCGGAGGAAGGCGCGGAATTGGTAATTGTTGAAGACCTGCTCCAGGATAAGGTGAGGCGCGATGGTGTGCATGGCCACCCAGAAATCACCGGGAGCCTTTTCAAGAAGGAGCTGGATGGTATTGAGCAAGTACTTCAGTCCCGGCGTGGGTATCGCTAGGTGCTCCACCGACAAGCGGACAGGGTCGATCTCCAACGCTCGCAGATTATGCGTGATCTGATCTTTATCCAATCTCTTGACGATCAGGGTCATCCCACGCCAGAGTCTCTGGATAGCCACCAGTTGCGGCGGCGGCTGTTGTTGTTGTTGTGATTGTTGTGGTTGTGGTTGCTGCTGCTGCTGGTGTTGTGAGGCGACCCGCAGAGCGTCAAGCAGGCCTTCCTTGATTGCCCAGTCAAACTCCTCGGTGGTCGGGGGGCGTGCGTACCGCGACCAGACATTGAAGGCCCAGAAATTGCGAAGCTGGACGGGGTCGAACAAGAAGCGGGAGATGGCGGGGATGTAATCGGAAACCTTGAGGCTCCGCTTGGACTGAATCAGCTCAAAGGGCTCATCGAAATGGGCGCGCAGCAGCTCGTCGTCACGGAGCATGGCTTCACAGCTCAGGGTCTCGAAGATGGCCAGCAATGAAGCCCTGTCGAGAACATGGAGTCCGATCTCCTGGCGGGGCAGGGGTCTCAACGTGGCAGTCGCCACGGCGAGGTTCCTCGTGATGCGCTGGATATCCCACTCGTCCAGCATGCGGGCAAACCGGTCCGTCTCCTCCTCCTCGTAGCTCTCCTTCAACTGCTCCAACAACCAGATCTTGCCCATGTAGTACTGCTTGATACACAGCTCGCAGCGTTCCAGGCTCTCGTCGATCTTCTCGCGTAGCCAGCGCTGCACCTTCTCCGCCGCCTCCTCACTGTACGCCAGGATCCGCATGCACGAGACGAACTTCTCCCGGCGCGTCTTGGCCTCCTCGATCAATTCCCCGACATTGCGGCCCGTTTCGTTCACCTCGTTCGCATCCTCGTATCGGCAAAGGTCACCGTCGTCCTGACGCGGGCACAGCAGGTGCAACCCGCCGGGCAGAGCTTGTAGTTCACTAACAAGTTAGTTCAAAGCTCCATTTAGATGGATTCTCCCTATCAATTCTCCCTGGAGATGAATCCTCCTACCTGACTGTATCTATGAACTCCATAATGCCTGTTACCAGCTCATGAGAGAACAGAGCAGACGATCTCAGAAGATAAAGTCCATCACCCGCCAGGAGCCCGACCCCTTAGCAGATGCTAGATAAATACCTCTAGCCTAGTGAATACAGAGTAGCCCCCTCTTCCTTCTATTGTCAGCTCCTCGTGCCTCAATAGGCACTACCTGGACTCTCACTTTGCACACCAGTGTCGCCAATCGGAGACCCCGACGAGCCGTATCCCCACCCTGAGAATCAATTCAATAACTCTAGATGAATAGACAGAGGAGGGAGACAATAATTCCGGACAATAGACAATAGGGAGAGGAAGGAGGGAGAAGCCTTTGAGAACAAGAGAAAAAGGGCAGGAACGAAACAACCGCGAATGAGGACCTGTGATATATGATTGGTGGATGGCGGGGCGGTGAGACACTGCGCCGCCACTTTACGCGCAGCGCGTAAATGCTTAGTCATGATGCTTAGTCATACGAGTTCTTAGTCATCTTTGTATATATGCTCCCTCTTTATAGACAACTACAGTACTCTTCTAGAAATACTCTACAAGGCAGAACTACTATTATTTGAATTCATTGACTTTCGTCGGTCTTGCTAAGATACATAAATGGCATGGACACCTCCGATGCTGCTTTTGAGAGGCTCTTCTCGACAGGGACAGCTCTATACACTAGATTGGCGAGGAACAGCAGACAGATGAAAAAAAAAAAAAAAAAAAAAAAAAAAAAACCAGGAGAAAAAGAAAGGAAAAGAAGGATGCCTGCAGGAGAAAAACCTGACGGAAGGACGGCGACAAGCGCGCTTCTGTACAAAGAAAACAAACACGCACCGGCCCCCGGCAGTGGTAGAGGGCCAGTACGGAGTATAAGAACAGGTCGAAAGGAAAAAATTCCGGTCATGGTAGCGGAAGCCTTATGATTAGTAGGGCGAGCTAGAATGGGGGAGGGGGGGAGGGTCGAATTAGGTAGCATGCAGGGAGGAAAAAAACAAACAAACAGAAGACACTCTCTATCGGGGAATAGTAAAACAAGCAGGCAAACAAGGACAAGTCAAACGGGAAGGGAAGTTCCGGTTCAGCGACAACAGACCGGTGGGAGAAGGAGAAAAATATCCAGATAAAATGTTTAGGTACCTAAGACATTGGGAGTCATCAACAAGCATGGGAGAGAGAGAGAGAGAGAGAGAGAGGGAAACATCGCTTCTTTTCCACCCTCCTTTACGGAACGGCGATAGGGTCGCGGTGACCCCTGAGCGGGCCGTGCGGACTAGTCGGCGGTTGAGGGTTGGTGTGCGAGGATTCGATGCGACTCAGCATGGCGGCCGAGGTGAAGTCGTTGCTGGCCTCGAAGCTCTGGCGGGCCCGGTCCATCGACGGACGCGGTCGGTCGTACGACGCCCGCGCGAACTCGATCGACTGCGGCCGCGGATGGCGGTTCATATCGAAGCTGCTGGTGTAGTTGGTGCCGTTGCTGCCGTTCTGGCTCCGTTGGTTGTGCGTGTTGGCCGTCGGGGCGACCGAAGGCGGGTAGATGGGCCGTTCCTCTTCCGAGAGCGCCGGGTGGTCCCGTTTGATGGGGGGCTGCTCGATAGGTTTCCCCATATCGGACGAGGAGGTGGCCGAGTCGCCGCTCAGGCCATTCACGCCGCGGTTGTTGGCCCCCGTGACGCCGGTGACCCCGGCATTCGGCGGGACGTAGGCCTCAAACCGGTCGAGATGCTTGAAGTGGCCGAGGCTGACCAGCTCGCGGATGATGTCCACATCGCGGGGGAAGTAGACCTTCTGGACGGACTTGATGAAGAAACGAGGGAGCAGGCAGATCGCCACCGTCACCAAAAGCACGGCCCAGAAGGAGAGCGCGCCGTAGACCTGCGGCGCGGCCTGGTAGAACTGGCCCGAAGAAGTGAAGCAGGTGTACACACCCGTCCAGAAGAAGACCAGCAGCGAGCTGATGGCGTTGATCAAGACCGACAACCAATCCCACCGGTACATGTTGAACAGGACGTACGTGTTGCTGGCAATGATGGCACATGTCGCAACCAACACACCCATGCGGTTGCGGTCACCGAGATCTCTCCCATTGGGATCGATAAAATTCGCGGGCGAATACAGGAGATACGGCATAAAGAAGCAGATTGCTGACTGGTAAAGACCATCGCCCATGTACAGCCTGAAAGAAAAAGAAAGTTAGAAAAAAAAAAAAAAAAGCAAAGAGAGACGGAGAATTCAAGGGAATCAAGCATACCAAAACTTCAGTTGAGACCATTCTTTCCGTTCAATGCCACGCATGTACAATTGCGGGACGGCCAGGGAGACCTTGTCGTCGACATCCTGGTCAAAGATGCCCATGAAGATGACCGGCAGAGAGGTAAAGGCCAGATTGACGAGAACAATGTAGGTGTAGTCAAACAGGTAGGAGCCGTCAAAGTTGTTGTAGATGGAGTACCAGAAGAGGGCAAAGGTCCAGACCAAGTTCTTGTAGAAGAAGTTGGCGATGGTCTCACCCAGACGGCGGTAGGACCAGCGGCCATGCACGAGGACGAGGCGTTGGAGGAAGCGGAATTGGCCGATGGCATAATCGGAGGACATGACGGCCTGACGGCCCTCCTCGCCTGCAATGCCGACGCCGACATCGGCCTCCTGGATCATGGCGACGTCGTTGGCGCCATCGCCGATGGACAGGGCCATGATGTTGAGCCCGTTGCGGACCATGTTGACCACGGCGGCCTTTTGCGCGGGACTGACCCGGCAACACAGGACAGATTTGCACTGCTTGCACAGGAGGAGGAACTTCTGTTTCAGCTTGTCGCTGAGCATCAGCTTGAGCGTATCGCCGTCGATGACCACCGCGTGCGTCGGGGCGGGCGCGGTGTGGTCCTTGCGCGCGGCGATCAGTTCCTCGTCCGAGCCCGTCAGGCCAAATATCTGCAGGTTCTTGTCCAGCTCGTTCTCCGCCAGATCCAGCTCGTTCTCGGGCACGTTGAAGACGAGCAGTTCCATGTCGTTGGTGAGCAGGTTGCAGGAAAAGCCGATGTTGATGGCGGTCTCCACCTTGTCGCCCGTCAAGACCCAGAGCTTGATGCCGGCGTCCGCCAGCAGGGAGATGGTGTCCGGCACCCCATCCTGGAGTCGGTCCTCGATGGCGGTGCCACCGAGCAGGTTGAGCTCCTGCTCGATCTCGCTGGCCACCTTCTCGAGCTTCTCCTCGCGCTCGGAGATGGCGGCAGCAGCCACGTCGTGCTCGCGGCTCCACGTCTGGTAGTACTCCTCGCTGAGTTCGCGATCGGCGATGCACAGGGTCCGGAGGCCCTCGCGGGCAAACATCTCCAGGTGATCGGCGGTGGACTTGCGCAGCTCCTGCTGCTGGCCCCGGGCCAGCCGCGAGTAGATCACGCTGTCGGCACCCTTGCAGAACAGGCGGATGGAGCCGTCGGGCATGCGGATGATGGCGCTCATGCGCTTCCGTGAGGAGTTGAACTCGAGGGTGTTGAGCACGGTGTAGGTCCGTTCCTGGCCCAGCACGTTCACCGTCAGGTCATCCCCGCTCCGGCCCAGGACGGTGAAGCCGCAGTCGCGGGCCGTGGCGACCAGGGCCGCCTCGTCGGGCGATTGGGCCTTGAACTCGATCTGCGGGGGGTCGCCCGGGGTATGTTCGGTGATGACGGTGTGGCAGACGGCCAGGGCCAGCATGAAATGCTCGATGGCGGCCTGCTGGGCCTCACCGGTTCGGCCGCCCATGTCGGAGATCATGTCGGGGGAGACAAAGGTCAGCTTGTCATCGTGAAGGTAAGGGTTGTTGTGCATCTCGCGGAGGAGCTCGAGCATCCGGATGCGACTGACGCGGATCTGCTCGGCGGCGCGGGCGGCCTCTTCGTCGACGTTGATGCCCGCGCGGCGCTGCATGCCCAACTGGGCTTCGGTGTAGGCCTCGCCGTAGGAGACGCCGTTGATGGTGCACTTTTTGAATTCCATGACGTTCTGGGTCAGGGTTCCCGTCTTGTCGGAGAAGATGTACTCGATCTGGCCGACGTCGTCGGAGATGTTCCAGGTCTTGGGCACACAGGCGATGCCCAGCTTCTCGTAGTACATGTGAACGTCGCTGTGGATGAAGATGGCCTGCACAGTGCGGACGATCTCGAGGGAGATGAAGAGGGAGATGGGCACCAAGTTCTGGAAGAGGATGACGGCCACCCAGAAGGTGACGACACCGGTCACGGGCGGGGTGCCGCCATAGGAGCCAAAGTCGAAGAAGTCGAGCGAGGCCTCCTTGTTGCCCCAGGAGACCCCGTTGATGATGCCGGAGACCAGACACATGAGGAACAGGATGATGAAGTTGTAGATGACATTCTTGACCATGTCGGTGAAGAGGCGGGCCCTCTTGGTCGGGGTCTCCCCCGAGTTGAGCATGATCTTGGTCTCGACGCCGGTGAAGACGACGACGCCGAGGACCCACTCGGTATTGCGCAGGGAGCAACCGCGGAGCAGCAGGTTGTTGATGGAGATGGGCTCGACGCGATCCTTGCGGGGCCCGTCGGGGTAGTCGGCCTGTTCCCAGCGAATGGCGCCGTTGTACGAGTAGAGGTTGGGATGGGGCGCCTCGCTGTCGATGGTGAACTCGGTCTTTTCACAGTCCCGCGCGTGTCGGACCGGGCGGCTGCAGTTGAGGGCCTGGCGGACCTTGAGGTTGGTCTCACCGTCGAGATTCTTGGTCTCGACGTAACAGGCGCCGTCCGGGTCGGAGGTTGACATGATGACGATATCCGCGGGGATCTGGTCGCCGCTGTAGATCCGCACGAAATCACCGACCTCGATGTTCTTCCAAAAGTCGCGCTTGAAGCGGGCCGTTCCAGAGGTCTGCTTCGAGCGGTCGAGGATGCTGCCGGGGGAGACCTGTGGAAACATGGTGCTGGCCCGGGCGGCAGCGGTGGCGGCGGGCTTGTTATTATCGTCGGGTCGAGGCTGCGGCACTATCCCGTCGTCAGGGAGGGGCCAACTTTCGCGGACCTCCGGGTTGGGGGAGGGCACGGGGGTCATCTGGATGGCGCCTTCGTTGGGGTCGACACCACCACCACCACCACCACCACCGCGGTGGGAGAACATGGAGGCACGGTTGGAATAGGCGACCGAGGTGCGTGGAGTGACGGTGGTCATGAAGGAGGCGCGACGTTCATCTTCGATGGTGGCGGGCAAGGTCTTCCCCTTGCCCGTGAGGGAGGCGATCTGCTTATAGACGTAGATGGCGGAGTGGGTACAGGCCTTTTTGAAGCGGCGCCAGGCCGAGATCTCATCGCCGACGGAATTCACGTTGTGCCAGCTCATCAAGCGGTAGACGGGGGAGTTGTTCAGCTCGTTATCGAGGACGGTGCGGCGCCAATCCTCGATGGCATCCTTGATGGCGGTAGCGGTGATGATCACGATCAGCGGGACGGCGTTCAAACCCGGATTATTTGCACCGAATATGGGAAAGAACTAGCAAGAGTTAGCATATCGTCTTCAGGGAGGATCGGTGCATTGCATTGCATTGCATTTGCATCCCATCATCAACATACGTTGAGAATGATGACAAACAGGAAGTAGTCGTTGGCGATATTGTGGAACTGGAGCCAGATATTCTTGGGAATGAAACTCAAGGGGGTATATTTGGCAGTACGAATCTTGTTTCGGGGATAGACAGCCAAGAGATGACCCTCCTCGTCGCGCTCCGACTCCGGGACGGGGGTATTGAAGTAGATGGTGCGGTTCTGCGGCTGCTGCTGCTGCTGCTGCTGCTCCTTCTGCTCCTTGCCCGACGCAGGTTCCGAGGCTTGTAGGGAGGGGATGAAGCTGGCGCCCGACTGGCGTTTCTCCTCCTTGATCTCCGAGCGCTTATGGAAGCGATCGATGATCGAGACACGTTTCCGCACGCCCCCGGCGCCCGACTCGCGCTGTGTCGCCCATCGTTGTCGTTTCGTCGGCTTCGAAACCCGACTGTTTGTCTCCTGAACCTCGTTGCCCGGCGCTTCTTCCGCTGCGTCAAATCGTATCGAAGTCATTTAGCCTGCCAACGGGCCCGTGCGGGGAGGGCACCGATGAAGACACTGGTGAAGATAACAGTGGTGTAGAAGAAGAAGGTGGTGGTCTTTTTATTTTTTCTCTTAGACGTGGACAGAAGAGGGAGACCATCCGCTCCAGGGAGGCGACGGGCGCACCGACAAAACCGACGACAGTCGAAGCCGGTTGCAAGAAGCGAAAGGGGGGAGAAGGAGGAGGAGCAGGAGGGGGGGGGGGGGAGATTATATTCGCTGCTCAGTAATAAATGCACATGGATGGGAAGTCGGACAGATTGCTGGGGGATAGATCCGGGCGATCCGCTCTGGGAGGAGGCGGACAAGAGGGCGACCGGCGACCGAAGGCGATTAGTTTAGGTATTGTTTGGTAAGCGGGAAGGCAGGGGAAAAAAGAGCGACAGCAAGACCCGCGAGGGGCGTTGAGCATTGGGGGAGAAGCAGCAGAAAGAAGGGGGAAACACGAGCAGGCCCCAAGAAGGAGTCGAAGAGAGAGAGAGAGAGAGAGAGAGAGAGAGAGAGAGGTGAGATGTGAGATGTGAGGGGAGAGTCGAGTCGGGATGGAGAGCCTGACAGAGGCTGGAGGGAGGGAGCGATTATTCAGAACTGCGGTTAAGTTACCGTCCGTTGCTGGGCACTGGTAATTCCCTTACAGCGGTATATTACACCGTGTATACCTTCAGTGGCCACAAAGATTGGTTAGTAGATAAGGCGTTTATGATGTTTTTAAATATGACTTGGGTATGATAATTTTCTTATGATTTATTAGTAGCATAATAGAGGAGTAGACGGTGTACCTAGATAGAGGAGAGAGTACCTTACCTAGGTACCTGGGTTAGTAACTACCTAGTAACTTATGTCAGGTATTGTATTAATACCGGAATGCACTTAGAGATTCCAGCCTCAGGACATTGTTTGGATCGCCAGAATTTTTGGAGGGTGGCAAGGAGAATCAGTGGTATTCTGGACTATTTGAGTTCCAATAAAAGTAGAATTATCTAATTGTATTGCTATCCTCTATGTTATATACAGGATTCTTATGTACATAGGTATACATAACTATAAACTACTAGGTAGTAACTTAGGTACCTGTTAATGCGTAGGTACTCCGTACTAGTTTCACGCGTCCTCCACAGTTTAAACCGTCAGTCTGAAACGGCCGTCTGACAGGTGATTTTCATGCATTATCATTATTATTGATTAATACCGGAGGATCCACTGCGCTTGTCGAGCACGAGCTTTAGTACGGAGTACGGAGTACGGAATATACCTACGGAATATACCACTATGCAGTAGGTACCTCGGAGTATACGGAGGATAGGGACGGAGTACGGAATACGGAGTTTGGATGCTCGGCATTAATGACCATTATTCAGCACTATGTAGTACTCTTGATTTAGTTATTAGGAACTACCGAGGTAATTAGTCATAGCTGACAGAATAACATTTCCTTCATGCTCTTCAGCAGTCGTACTACTGCGTGGACTCCGTAGACTCCGTACTCAATTGAGTACCGGGATTTATGGAGCAACTTAATCTCCCCTGTGGCTCTCTTGCGTAAGATCGATGGGGCGCTTCTGGTGGACACAGTAGCCTACGTCAGGCTGCCAGGTACCTAGTTAGTTGGTAATACGACATATGAGCATGCTTGACTAGTCAAGTTATGGCGGAAATATCAGTTTATCAGTGACCTGTCTGTACTCCGGAGTAGACTCTGGCGGAAGATACAAAATCCTCCGGCAGGGAATCAGGAATTAAGGGTAATTAAAGGGGTCACGTGATATCGTGATCCGCGCGTCGTTCGCGTCGTGTCGTGCGGAGACAGAACAAAGAATCAACGACATCTCGAGCAGGGCTGGCAGGTCGTCACTGTCAGGATTGTCAGGTCTGTCTGTGCAGCCGGCCCCTCATGTCCAAGTCCCGCAATATCACAGACTACTTCAAAAGGCCCGACTTTTCCGCTGTCCGAGACCCAGATGAGGAGACGACGGAGGACTGCCAGGTGAGGCGTGCAGAGTCGGAGGCCTTGCCGCAGACAAAGCCAACGCCTTTGTTTGCCTCCTTTGCAGACTCAGTGGGCTCAGCGTCTCGCCAGTCAAGCCTTCCCGTTGGAAGCAGCTTTGCGGGGCGGTCTTCCTTTGATGGAAGCACCTCCCTCTCCCAACGGGTAGTCAGGAACGGCAGGGAGGTCGTCATCAGTTCTGACGGAGAATACACCGACGCCGAATCGCTAGAAGACCCTGAAGATCTGTTCAGAATCCTTGATACTACTGCTACTTCCACTACTACTAAAGTGCAGCAGGAAAAGGAAGAAGAGATGCCTCCCAGAAAGACGGGGAAACCCTCCAAATTCTCAAGCTCCAGCATCGATAAACTGCCGAAATACAAATTCACCCTCGACTCTCTCGTCACCCACACGGTAGACGATAACGAGACCGAGGCCGGGGTTTCCAAGGTCAGAGCTGCGTACGATGCCGCCGAGAAGGAGAGCGCCGCTGCCAGAGAAAACGGTGGGCGTCTGCGCGAGACCCTGTTGGCGTCGGCGTTGGGAACGGGCGACAAGAACGACGATGCCTCAGATATCCAGCGTCTGCTCCATGCAGTCCGACGAACAGAGGCCCTAGACCAAGACAAGGCGTGGTACTTCTTCAAGCAGGGCGTATCGTCGTCGTCGCCGTCCCACCCGCTCCCGCCCAAGTTCCCCGCTTCCAAGGTCTCTGCGAGGACATACGAAGCCGTTCTGCGAGGTTTGTGTGGATTCCAGCCCCGTATAGAGGGGGGTCCCTTGTCTCCCTGTACTGATTGCCTTCTAGACCCGACCACCCGCGCACGAGCGTTTCAGTCCGGCACCCTTGACGTCGCATTGGCAAGACATATGCTACCCGAAGAGGTGGTCCTCTGGATATTTCAGTCTGGTTCGTTCCGAATGCCTGGCTCTGCTATGGATTTAAGTACCAACCGTCTCCAGCTTCCTCCGAACAGCGTGATGACCTGAGGCATGCCTATTGCCGGGCGTTTAAGGTTAGTGGGCAGTTTCCACGTCGATCACTCCAGCTCACCCAGATCAGAGCGTAAACCCATCGCGCGTAGCCTCGCTGATCCTACCGAAACATATCGATACCCTCTTCGAAACTCTTGGTGCAACTTCTGACTCCCTCGACCTTTCCAAGCCGTTAATTCCAGCTTCGTCAGAGACAGGTAGGCATCCCATGAACTGTCGTCGTCGACCATGTCACAGTGGGTTTTAACTGTTCCTGGCCATGCTATAGGAAGTCTCGGCCACAAGGAATTCCAAACCCAATCATTGCTACTATCTTCCTTGGATCTTCTCCGCGGTACTGCCGATCGGTGAGCTGGCCTTCCTTTCCTTTGCGTTGGTATCATCAAATCTGACCTGCCTACCCAGATTCGCCCGCCGGACTCGAGTCCATATCTTACTTATCCTCTTTCGACTGGCTATCGACATATCCATCACTAGCAACAGCATTGTATGTTCTGAGCTCGAAGGAACCATCACCGCCTTGTTAGAAAGCGGGCTCAAGCCAGACGCAGAAAATATGGTGATTCTCTCCTATAGTATCCCTCCCTCTACCAACCATGACCGCTGACAAAAGCAGGCGCGGCAGATCTCGCAGGCAGTCTATGATACTGTCAACGACGCAGAATTCCAAGCTCGCTTGCTCCGCCACATTCTGCCGACGTCCGACTGGATCGCCCTATTACGGTGCCGTCTTGCCGTCTCCTTCCTTCTCCGCGATCCGGCGCCCCTCACCGAGGCGCCGGAGGCCGTTCTTGATTTGAACCGAATCACTGCCGTGCTGAAAGAGAAACGGTTCGATGTCAAGGCCTTCAAAGCCAAGGACCAGGGCGAGTATGATTTTGGTGAGCTGGGCGCCATCACCGTCCTGCTCAATATCGCCATCGACTCAAGCTGGGCCAAACTGAGAGCGGGGGCAGAAGGCGAAACCAACCGCGAGTATAACGCTGCAGTCGACGCTCTGGCCGACCGAATCAAGAAGATCTTCACCTCCATCGCGGACTCGGGGGCCTCGCACCTCCGCCGCACGCAGGCCAAAGAGGCCCTCGAGGCTCTGCACTACCGGACTGTGTACTCCATTCGGTCGAAGCCGCCACCGAAAAAGACCCTGTTTGGACCGAAAAATGACCAGGACTGGGAGGATATCGAGAAAAGCCGGGCTGCTTTCGCCCAGTTTACAAAAGGGCGTACCAAAGCGGAGATTGCAATTCGACCTCACGACCCATCTTGAATAGATCCCGAGACACTTGGGACGCATTTGGATTACGCCATGAACGGGGACAGCAACGTCACCCACACACTTGAATGATATAAATAACGAGATAGTTACGGAATTTGTATAGATTTAATGATATAAACAGGATTCAGCCGAACCAGCCTGGTAACTATACGATACTGCTCTATGCGAATCGAAGATTGCAAGGAATGACACGGTAGGAAACATCGCCAGCAAAGGGAAAAAACAGAATACGCAGGATATACGAGCGTCTCTCCTCAATCGTAGAATTTGCGGTTGACGTTCTTGCCGAAGAGAGTCTCTCGCACGGCGGGGAGGGCATCGATCTCCAGCAACCGCAGCCGCTCCTCGAAGGTGTTGTTGATTTCGATCTTTCCTTGGCTGCCTAGGATGGAAACACCGCCAGCACTGTCAATTAGCAAGCATTCTTTACAGAAAAGAAAGAGATACAAAAAAAAAAAAAAGAAAACAAAAAGAAAACAAGGTAGATCTTACGAGTCCTCCGGGAGTGGCTCCGACTCATCAATCTCCACGACGACCTCCCTACCGACATGGTCTTTAAACTCGGTAGCGGCCTCGACGATGGCGGCCCTGACGGCCTCGTAGTCCTTCTTGCGCGCGCGGACGGCAATCTTGTCTTCGTTGAGGGCGTAGAGGCCCTCGAGGACCAACCCGCGCAGGACAGCATCGTACTTCTTGGCATCACCCGCCGCGACGCCGGTGATCTGCTCGCGCGCCCGCTGGAACAGCTCGTCGAGCAGGGTCTGGCGCGCCGACAGCACGCGCAGGCGGGTCTTGTTGGCCAGCGTCGACCGTGTGATCTGCTGCGACATGGCGGCCTGCTTAAACTTCTTCTCGTACAGGGTGTCGATCGCCGCCGTCTCCTGCCGCACCAGCTTCGACTTCTCAATCGCAAACTCCTCGTCGGCCTTGAGTTGGATCTCCCGCGCCTTCTCCAGCGCTTCTTGCCGGATAAACGCCGTCATCTTGCGGAGCTCGCCCGCCACCTAAGACGTATTCGGTCTGAATCAGCCTTTTACCATCACACATATAGTCCACGGAAAATGCTCTACCTGATCGTCTGAAAGGGCATGGCTTTGCGACATTCTGGCGGTTGTCTCGATACGAACGGAGGGGGGGGGTACGTAATATAACCTGGCCACCAAGTCAGCTTCTCTTCACTCACTCACGGATAATGTCTCGTGTATTTCCAAACTACTCGTCAATAACAACACCATGATAACTTACCGGTTCACGGGGGGGTGCTGCAATCTGGCACAGCGTAAAGTGTTGCAGGTGAGGTGGTTGCTTGAAGCTCCGGCCACGGATCCGTGACTTGGCGGGAACTTTGGGGGGTTCAAAGACCAGACCAGACCAGACCTCCGTTTCTAAACAATCGAGTCTTGTCTCCCCGCCGTCCCTCCTTCAGACAAATCTATACTCATTTCCCTACCGGTCTCTTCCTCTCTCTATCTCTTTTGCCGTTTCGTGTCTCTCTCTTCTTCTGTATTAATAGTATGGCGCCGGCGTGCTCGAACACAGCTCGTTGACGTTCTGACCAGCTGCCTGTCTACCACCTTCACCGTCTGCAGACCAATGCGCTGGTCTTCTCCAGATGGGTACTCTGGGTGACTTGTCGCCGCAGGGTAGTGTGGCAGTATGTTTTATCTACATTATTCTGTTTTTTTTTGTTTTTTTTCTCATGTGAATCTATACTGAATTATCTCCTTAGATCGGGGTCGTTGTTGGGGTGATCTCGACCAGTCTGCAGGCGATCGGACTGACGTTGCAGCGCAAGTCGCATATTCTCGAGGATGAAAAGCATCCGTATGATCTCCGTCGACCACCGTACAAGCGTCGAAGATGGCAGGTAAGGCTAGGGGGGACGGGAAGGGGGAGGGTTCCTAATAGCAGCATATGTTGACTTGGACAGCTGGGGATGCTGATGTTCGTGGTCTCGAACATCGTCGGCAGCACGATCCAGATCACGACGCTACCACTGCCTGTTCTCTCGACTCTGCAAGCCGTGAGTATTGCCTTGTGAATGGCTAGATTTGTGGTCTTCTTCTCTCTGACAGACAAAAAACCACAGTCCGGCCTGGTCTTCAACACGATATTTGCAACGCTCATTCTCGGCGAACCCTTTACGAGATACTCGCTCTTCGGAACAATACTGGTGTGCATGGGCGCGGTGCTCATCGCCACGTTTGGGGCCATCGGTGAGCCTGCACATACTCTGGACCAGCTGCTCGAGCTGCTAAAGCGCCGGCCGTTCATTCTGTGGATGGCTGGAACGGTGGTGATCGTCCTGGTGATCCTGTCCGTGTCGCGAGCTCTCAGGTCGCTTTCATCTCCGTACCTGCGCCTGAAGCCGCGGCCGCTGCGTCTCCTCTCGCCCCTGCAAGCGCCGTACACGCCCAAGGGGCAGGCGCGTGTGCGGCTCTTCTGCGGCATGTGCTTCGGCCTTGTCAGCGGCATTCTCTCGGCGCACTCCCTGTTGCTAGCTAAATCGGCCGTGGAGCTCGTCGTGCGAACCGTCGTGGACCGCGTCAATCAGTTCAACCGGTGGCAGTCATGGGTGATCCTGCTGGGCATGATCGTCCTCGCTCTCACGCAGCTCTTCTACCTGCACCGCGGCCTCAAGCTGTGCAGCACCAGCGTGCTGTACCCGTTTGTCTTCTGCATCTACAACATCATCGCCATTCTCGATGGCTTGATTTACTTTCGCCAGGTCGGCCAGCTCTCCGCCATGCACGCCGGTCTCATCGCCCTGGGTACCATCATCCTCCTCAGCGGCGTGCTCTGCCTCTCCTGGCGACTGGAAGACATCGACAGCCACGCTGGGGTCACCGCCACGGCACCCTCGCAGACGGGATTAGGCCCAGGGATTGGCGGCGTGATGGATGAACACCTCCACCACCACCCGCCTTCACCAGATAGAATGACGAACCGCACCCTGGATTTGGAAAGCGCCGAGGCCGCCCGGCTACTGGGCGAATACGAACCCCTCCTCGAGAGACGCAGGCGATCTCACGAGCGGACCCCCAGTCTCCCGAGCTCGGCCTCCATCTGGGCCGAACTCGACGACGACGACGACGACGGCGACGACGAAGCCGAAGCCGAGGACGAAGATAATCTCTATAGAAGCGACTCGTCTCGTTTCAAATCCGCCCCCGCATATCGCCCCCGCAGCAAGAGCAGTCCGTTTTTTCCCCCCCGCCTGCTCGCCGGCCGGCGAAGCCTCCGTTCAAGCCAAACGTGGGGGTCTCGGTCTAGACGCGTGCCAAACTGGCGACGGACCTCTCTCCCAATCTCAACCGCATCCACGGCCTCACCACCACCCAGGAGATCTCTCCTCGCTTCATCATCCACCACAATCTCATATGGGGCCATCTCAACCGAACACCGTCCTCGTCGTCACGATACTGCTTCTCCTCGCTCCCAGCCTATTCCTACTACTCCTCCTACTACTTCCCCCCGCTCCAATCTCTTCCGGCGTGGACTCTGGTATTTTCAGCGGTGGATGGGCGGCGGGCCCTACAACCAGTGATTGACGGAGGCCAAGGCGGAACCCAAGATCCCGATTCGATAGGAATAGAAATCATGTCCACATTTAATATATAACATAACTACCTGGGTCCCCATTCTTGTATTGCTAAGTCCATTGGATCAGACACAAACACAGACAGCTCCTTATGAATCTCCTCGTTCCTCTGTACTACAAGTGTTCGTAAGAACTAAAATCTACTCATGATATAGTCTTGAAGTTATTTCAATCATGGATTAGTTTGACGTGGGACGCGACTTTGACATAACATGACTAGGAAGAAGAAATAGGGGAAAAGAAAGAGAGGAAATAAGAAAGGAAAAGGAAAAAAAAAAATAGAGAGAAATCGAGAATAACCACTTCGCCACGGAAATCAAGTACACCCTGAACACCGCCACCTCCACCGTCGTCTAGGAGATGCTGAACGGAAAACAAAACCCGGATTAAGCCCAGCCTGGTTTCCCGACTATTTGCGATTTCGTACGGTCTCTGAATCAACGTGCTTTTGTTCAATTTGTCTTTCTTGTTTGGAATTTGCTTATCATTTATTCGCTTCTTTTCTGTTTTTTCTTTTTTTTTTCTTTCCTTTTGGGATCCACAAGTCGAGCCGCAGGCAGTTGATCGGATTGGGCATGTTCAGATCGGGGTATCATGGAAGAAAAGCATGGAGCAATGGCCTATCTAGAGCCACCTCGCAGAGGGGGTTGTAGACGTTTCACAACTCTTTTATGCCGTCGGTTGATGTTGAGGCGGCATGCGATTCCCCACGGGCATGCCCGGGTACTGTCCGCCAGCCTGCTGTTGCTGCTGCAGGTTCTGGTAGTAGGCCATCTGCTGCTGCTGCTCGTGTGTCATGTAGCCCGGCTGCATGCCACCGGGGCGCGGGATGCTGGACTGCTGCGCAGCCACGCTGCTGTGGCCGACGTCCTCTGGGGTCTCGGCCGGCACGTCGGCCGCGTCGACGCCATTCTCGGCGCTCGCAGGGTCGGGGGCATTCAGACAGGCCTGGAATTGCATTAACACCAAAATAACGTAGATCATGTATATCATAAGATTATCTCTACCTGAATGAGATTCTTGCCCTCAGCCTTGGTGACTAACGGTTGGAGTTTCGGGGTGGTGAAGGTGTAGACGAGTCCGGTTTCGGACACGACCAGCAGGAGGACTTGGGTGCCAGTGAGGACGGAGAGCTCGTAGGCCTATCAATTAATTAATTAGTTAATGATCTTTGTGGGTTTCAAGAAAAAAAAAAGTAAAAATGATATCAATTGTTGTAGGAAGAGAGGGGAGGTGGATTGGTGTGTGGGGGTCGAGACGTGCCAGGGACGGGAGAGGACCGTCCAGACGCGCGACGTACCTTCTTCATGATGCCAGCCTTCCGCTTGGAGAAGGTGATGTGGCGACGCGACTTGTCCTGGATGAACTTGATCTCGATCTTTCTACGCTCGCGGCCGGGCTTATCCTCGTCGTCGTCATCGTCGTCGGCGCTGAGGCGAGAGCGTTTGGGGCCGCGGACGTCGGGGGCGCCGTTACCGGCCGCCTGCTGCAGGTCGTCCTGAGTGGGCGAAGGGTTCTCGTCTCCGACGGCGGTGATGTCGGCCATGGTGAGCAAGCTGGAGGGATGCAGAGCGAGAGAAAAGGCAGTGGAGTGGAAGGAGGGAAACGGACGAGAGGCAGCTCACAGAGTGTCACTTCTGAGGTGCCTAAAGAGGAATGATGCTTGGGCGAGGCAGTGACCGAATCGAGTAACGCGTTTGTGAGAGTCAGGTTTGGGTAAGGTCAGAAAATGGGAGGGAGTTGAGGGGGTGCGAGAAACTTGAAGGGTAGGCGGTGGGTCATGTGACGATTACCATTACGGGCGAGTCTGTACTAGTAGTAGTATAGTTTGTTACTAAACTACCTAGTATATTACAGTACACCTACCTAGGTACCTATACTGTAAGTGTAATACCAATGTTTGCCAAGCTCAGCGCGTTCTTAGACGTGGCGCTGACCAATCTTATCGGCCGACGCCAGTCACGAAGTGCTATTACCACTAGTACGAGCAGAACCACATTACCACTAGTACCAACTAGTAACCACCTATAGTAGTAGTAGTGTAGTGTAGTAGTTGTAGTAGTAGTAGGAATAATAATGATGATAACAATTACCATGTAGTACTACTGTACTATATTCTAGTCAACATAATTGAAATGCAATATCATTTATTGATGGAGTCCAAATAATGTGACAACCTCTGGACCGCATAGGTGGCAAGCGATCGTCAGACTAGCTCCGCGGTAAGCAGGGGTCGGCTACTCCGAGTCCAGCCGTATTTATAGTACGGAGTACCTAGTACATACTAAAGTACGAGGTCGTAAAGTACCTAAACCTTAGGTACCTAGGGACCTTCTTCTACATACCTGAGTCCTACGGTAGGACTGACGGAGTACTTGTACTACTATAAATCAATAATTGATCAAACATCGAATATTACTGTTCAAGTTATGAGCTTTTTATAGCCTTGGAGTACTCCGTAGTACTCCGTATGTAATCCATACTAAGTATGTAGTACTCGTCAAGAATTTCCTACAACAACTATCACAACTCATGCTGTGGCATACATGATTATAATAATACTCACTACTACACTTACTCATCCTGAATCTTAATAGATCTATCTATTTCTAATAGAACAGTCATCACATGTCCCATACCATAAAGCAAGGCCTGAGCGCTAATCACCAACAACAGTAAGCCAGAACAGTTAGAACAGTTAGTCGGAACAGTCAGAGAGAAAAAAAAAAGAAAAGAAAAGACACGATGGTAGAGCATGTGGTGTGGTCTACCACCCAGCAACAGCAACAGACAAAGCAGGTCTATTTTTACAATGATGCAGATCAGGTAGGCTTTCTCGTCCAGTTTAGGAGAAGGAGAAGTAGTTTAGAAAAAGGAGAATAAAATAGAATAGTGAGAGATTAGGAAAAGAGGAAAGAAAAAAAAAGGAAGAAGCAAACAAAAATCGAGAAAAGAGATGCTCGAACCACCCGGATATTATTCCCGCCAATGTAACGCCGGACAATGAGATTCAGACCGAAATTGAATGGAGCAGGTTGGGTGGGTGGACGTTGGTTCTGGTCTCAACGAATATGCATGAAGGGTAAAAAAAAGGTTCAAAGGGCCAGCCTTGTCGGTGGTAGCAGGTATAAATAAGTCGGGTTGAGGTCGTCTTGTTTTTTTTTTGTGTGTATGTGTGTCCTCTTCTTTTCTCTTTTTTTTGCATTATTATTTTTTTTTTTTTTAACTGGCGGTACCACCAACACCGGCTCCTCCACCGTTCGCCGGCCCCAGCCAGACAATCTCGATGACACTGCGGCCGTCTTCGTAGTCCCGGGTATAGAACTGGTGGACGTTGGGACCGACCACGTAGGCATCCTTGAGCAGCCAGCGCTCCTTGATGACACCTTCCTGCTCCTTGTCGCGCAGAGGACCCAGGCGGTCCTCGTAGCCGCGGGGATCCTCTTCCCAGGTCTTCTCAGTGTGGTCAAAGTCGATGGCATCGTTGGGGGTGTCCTCGCCGTAGGTGTACTTGACGAGGGAGTAGCCGTTGGTCATGACCCAGAAGGTGCGGACGGATTTGCCTGTGATGTTGTTGGGGATCTCCTGCTGGTCAAAGACCCAGCGGCGGAGGACGGAGCGGCGGCCCGCGGCGGCGGCGACGGTGCTCATCTTGACGACGTCCTGGAGGTACCAGCTGTTCCAGTGGTGGAGCGACTCGATCTTGCGGCCGGACTCGTAGACACCGTCGATCTCGCCCTTCATGTCCATCTGGTAGAGCGAGGGCCAGAGGGTGAGCGGGGCATCGCCGAAGCGTTGGATGCACTGGCCGAGCTTCTGGTCGCCCGGCTGCTCGCCCCAGGACTGGCACTCGTCGTAGTAGGTGTCGAGGACGTCGAGCAGGGGCTTGGAGACGAAGACGCCGGCGCCGCCAAAGGCGATGTGGCCGAAGGTCTGCACCTGCCAGCTGGCCTCGGACAGGGCGCCGATGTAGTGGCGCTTGTTGACGTCGAAGAGCTTCAGCTCCTCGGCGACGGTGGCGAGGGAGGGCCAGAAGGTGTCGTCGTCGATGAAGCTGACCCAGGTGGTCCAGGGGCGCTCGGTGCGGATGATGTCGGCAAAGGCCTCGACGAGGCCGAAGTAGCGGGCGGTGAACTCGAGGGGGGACTTGCGGATGCGCAGGTCGAGGCCGCGGCTGCGGAAGTAGAGTTCCTGGGCGTCGGTGTCGTCATCGGAGTCGGGGACGAGGACGACGATGCCGGCCTTGCTGTCGCCGTAGGAGTAGAGAAGCGAGGGCAGCAGACGGTCGAGGCGGTCGACGGTGGTGGCCAGACCGAAGAGCAGCTTGGAGGTCTCCTCAATGTCGGAGTCGGCGGCGACGTCGACATCGATGACGCGCGGGCAGGGCACGGTGTGATCGCCGTTCTCGGCGGAGACGACCATGCCGCGTTCCAGGGTGGTGAAGGGGGGCAGGACGGGCCCATCGATGTCCTCGAGCGAGCTGAAGGTGGTCTGCGAGTCGACATGGCGCGGGCGGAAGTAGGCGCGGGTGTAGTTCTTGCGGCTGAGCCATTCGTTGAAGGGCAGGGGGGCGGCGACGGCCGGATCGGCGGGACAGTGTTTGGCGAGCTGCTGGCCGGCTGCAAGCCGGATCTGACCACCGGCAGCGGAGGAGGCACCGGAGGGTTGTTTGAATCGCAGGAAGGCGGCCTGATCGAAGCGTTCCATGCACCAGAAGAAGAAACCGATGCAGCAGATGGCTATCAGGGGGAAGAACGTCTTGAGCCTGAACAACGGCATCCTGACGGGGAGGTTGACGGCCTGGTAGGGCGGTTTTTCAAACATGAACAACGATTGTAGGAGTGTTTGGTGTATAGCAGGATCGTAGGTAGGAGTGGAAGGCTGCAGTGAGTGTCTAGACGAGAATCGTCGTAATGAAAACGTTGATCTGGTCTGGTCGGTCGGCGAGAGGAACCGTGGTTGTGATGTGGCTTTTTTTTTTCCCCGCTGGCCGGAGACGAAGGAAAGGAGTGAGGAAGAATAACGAGAGGCTGGCGTCGAGACCAGCGACACGTAGGAGTGACAATAAAACAGAGACTGATGGAGGAGAAAAGAAGAAAAGAAGAAAAGAAAAAAGAAGAAGAAAGCTGATCAACGATCACGGTCGCAGCGCACTCCAGGGCAGACAAGGAGTCTCGAGTGGTGGCGAGGGAAGAAAGTTGGGGGAGGGAGAAAGCAGGGAGGAAGAAGAAGAAGAAGAGGAGGAGGAGGAGGAGAGAGTTGAAAGTGGCGGACAGGAGCGGGCCTGGTGGAGAGAAAAGAATAGCAAAAAAAGGGTCGATCGAAGCACACACGCACAAGAGGATCTGATCGTCTACGGGCGAGTAGTGGTGCGATATTATCTTGGGATGAGGAATTGAACGATTTTTGCTCGGCGAGTTCTCCTGATTTGGTGATACCAGAAGCGACTAGTTGTGAGATGAGGAATGCAGACAAAATACCCGACAGTTATCATCCTCGATATTCCAGATGGACTATTATTTAAAAGAGTATCCAATCTGTACAGACCCTGGGTTGTATCTAAGTCTGTACAACTGCACCCACGTTCTGTCGATCGAGAATATAGCTAGGTATTATTCTATTGACCGAGTATTGACTACCTGAGTTCTGTCTATTCAGTATCCTCTTCTACCATTAACGATCATCTCGTCTGCAGAGTACTACGGAGTAAACTCATATGCTTACACTACTACAAACATTCTGCAGTAAATACATCGTTTCAGATTAATTCTCAAATGATTCTCCCCAGTCTTTACTGGTGCGACAAGACCCCTGGCACCCGAGGGTCGTTCGCCCCACGGCCGCGTGTACTACGAAGTACCGGGTATGTAGTACATGTACAGTTGACCACAGAGTAAGTCATACACTGTACCTGGTACTACTCTCACTCTACTCCTACTCTATAGACTCTACTCTCACTCTACTCCTATTACTCAATACTTCTACTTCTACATCTACATCTACTTCTACTGCTACTCTCTAGTCTACCTTTAATATCTACATTCTCCCTCGGAACCCTCAGATCCACGCATATAATGATCGACAGCACAGCCTCTCGCCAAGAACCACACACCAGAGGCAGAACCACCATGAGCCGTGTGTCAATGCCAACCTCTGCTTTGCACGCTCCTCGAGTTCGAAATGCAAATGAAACAAGCTTACCTTGGCACAGAAGTGGACTTGGCGAACCCTTCTATGAAATACATCTCCTATGTAGTATAACATGACTGCAGATCGATGACGTATTGCCACTATCTACATACTCCATACATACTTTGCATATGATTAACTATATAATGAATGTAGAATGAATGTACGGAGTATATCTCGGTTATACTAGATCAACATTTATTTGAGGCTAGTTCTATTCACTCGCTTATCTATACCTGCTGCCTAGATGCAGACGCAAGCAAGTAGTCAGTCATCATCCCCCCTCGTTCTCGCGTGCTCAAGAGTCCGTATTAACCGAGCTGACATTCCTTCGGGCCGACTCCTATCATCTAGTATGTACTATGTACTAACTATGTAGTAGGTTTATTCGCTAGACGGAATAGCAGACTGCATGTGATGTGGATAGATCAACAGGAGGCGAGGGCAGGTCAATCTATTCTTGGCGGCTTGTCTTAGACATCGGTCATATTCCGTTTTACATAGTTACATGGTTGCTACGATATACAATTTATTCATCAGCTGGATATAAATCAAATATATTCATGTTCTTGACTACGCATCTACTAACTGTTCCTCGCGGTCGTCAAAGTTCAGAAACTCCTCGTCCCGCGCCTCGTCCCCCATCACACCCCGCCACACCGCTCGCACCAGGTCGATCAGCCCATCGTCAAACGCCAGGTCGAGGCTGGGAGGGGGGAAGCAAAAGACATTCTCGGCAAAACCACTGCTCTGCACGGCTTGTGCTGCATCGTCGACTGCACTCGCTCGGCCCAGCTGCGTATATCGCAGGGACCACAGGATACGCGCGGGATGCACCAGCTTCTCCACCGCAGACTCCAGAAGGGTATGTCCTCGTGGACCGGGAATCGCTACGCTGCCGTAGATCACACCTGGCATATCATTAGTCATGACCCAGTGAAGATGCGTCGATTAAGAAAGAAGCAGCAAGAGAAAAAATTTCCCGATCAGGTTGTCGTTGATGTAGTTTTCATCAATGATGTACAGGCAATGTAGATAAGTTTGACAAGATCATCATGTAGGAATGGAATCATAAGAGATGCAGAGCGAGAGAGAAAAATCATAGAAAACTTACTTTGTCCAAGTGGGCATTCCCCGGTCTCGCTCGAATGCGCCAGGAGATAGACGGGTGGATCGCCTTCCTGACCGAGAGCGCTGCCGGGGAAGACAACGACTGCTCCCGAGGGTATCGGGCTCCCCTCAGCAGTAACAGGGAACAGATGGTCCAGCGGAGAAGCCACAATCGTGATCGACCGCGCCACCTTCTGACAGTCTGGCGTAGACGGGGAGGGAAGATCCCAGTGAGAGCCAACGACGTGGCGGCTAGTAACGGTCTCTCCATTCGACAGTTCTACCGCCAAGTGTGCCAAGTCGGCAACCTTAGATATGGCCTGAACGCCAGTGTTCAAGACGTATACGCCTCCGCCGACAGCCAAGGCGCGACAGCCTACTTGCGAGATCTCTGAACCCCCGCCCCACTTCGCCAGCAGGCTCCCAAATCCCGCTCCAAAGACACCGATCGACGCCAGATGCCTCTTCACCCGAGGAATGGCAAAACTGGCCGGTGTTTGTTGGGGGGCATCCTGAGACAACGACAGTGAGAGCAGGGGCTCATGAAGCTCCTCGGGTACCTGGAATCTGGAGGTCAAATATTCAGGAAAAGACATGGACAGGTCTTCCTCCTCCGCATCAGATGGCCCTTGATCTTCCTGCTGAGCCTTGCCAATGTGACGAAGGAACCGCATCAAGGTCCTCTTTGATTTGGTGGTGATCATCTCGTCTGCAAAGACATCCTCACGGCTGCTTGGCACGCGATACAGACCCCGCAATGCATCGGCGTCGGTGTCACGACTACCGCCTGCATGTGCATGGACCCACCAGCTTCCAACAGCCTGGAACTCCAACTGTCGATAGACTTTGGAGGACACTAGGGTGGGCAAAAGCTGGGAACGGGAATAGATCAGCTGGGGAGAGAGGGCGAGTGTATAGGCCCTAGAAGGTGACAAACTTCCTACACCAGTCTCAGTAGAGTCTGACGGGATGTAGACCTGGGCATCTTCAAAGGGCATCTGGCTGGATTCTAACTTGGCAAGTGAAGTTAGCGAGGCTTTCCTTTGATTTTTTGATTTCCTCTTCTTATTTTCCTGTTTTTTTTTTCCTTCCTCGTAGAAACTCACCTGCATTTACTAGATCAACCCATTCCTGGGCCTCCTGCAGACTAAAAGCCGCCTCAGAGCCTCCATAGTATTTGTTCTTGTCGACGTGCAGGACCTTCTTACCGGACCTCGACAGAGCTCTTTTCAAGCACGTATGAGTAACCGGGAGCGACGGAGGGAGTTGCAAGGAACACCACTCACAGCGCCAGAAGCGACTGAGCCAGCCCAGTTCCGGAGATGGTCACATCCCACAGCGTCTCGGTGAGCGACTCCATGCCGGATGGCAGGGGGGGGTGAAACCAGTCAACAGCTGTTCTTCCAACGAAGACGGGAATGGCTTTCTGCAACTATCATATCAAGCAGGGCCTAGCAAGGAAACGCCTTTCATAACAGGGACTTCCTGGCCATTGGGGCACAGTCTGCGTACAAGAGAAGGAAAGAAAAGTTGCTCCTCAGCTTCGCTCGAGAAAAAAGAGCTTCCCGCTAATAGTGCTCCACGTGACCTGTCCCACTCAGTCTCACTGCTGTGCTGTGGTCAACGAAGGGCGTCTTCATCTGCCCACGGTGCTTGGAAAGGTTGTCAAGGGAAGTGATGCCGGAGACTACGCTAATTGTAAGAATCATAGAACAGAGATGATTCAATCTACAGTCTACACACTCGACAGTCCTCCTCAGTAGCTTCATTTGCAGGACAGGATTCGATTATGGACCTTTCCAGATACGGCTAGATCCGAACACGCAAATCTCTTAAAACCAAAATTCATGCGTCAATCCGAGTTTTTCTTTTCCATGCCACTCTCGGTGCTCTGCACAGTCATGCTGCCTTCACTTCGTGACAGCATGTCTTCCTCTCAGATAAGGCCTTCACTGGACTTGTCGTTGTATGGGAGTGGTAGAATCGATTCGTCACTCTGTATCTGCTGCTCCGGATGGAGACATCTGATGGAAGCGGTTCGTTTGTAGTGATACATTCATTTCTATATTACATGTGCGGGTATCTGCATAACTCATCGCGGAAGACGTTCATCATCGTCATTTGAACGAGTGTTCTGGATGAGTGTAGGCCATCCATCCGTCTGATGGACATGTTTCGTAGAGCAGGAGTGATCGAGTCCAGGCAAGACTTATCAGGTCGATAATGTCTGGGTATTCTCCTGCTTCCTGAGACATCTGGCTCATTTTTATTGAACCCATGCCGTCTGTCTTCAGAAACCGGGACTGTAGCTTTGAAGGGGAGTACCGTTTCAGGTGTCAGACTTCACTCTTCAGTGTTCTCAACGATTCTGGCTCGGATTATTTTGACCTCCTCTATCGGTCGGTCCTCCCCGTTGGTCTTGACCAGTCCCATGCGTTGGATCACTCGCATCCCGCTCTTAACTCTACCGAAAATCGTGTGCTTCCCATCCAGCCACGGCGTAGGTGCCAGGGTGACGAAGAACTGGCTCCCGTTGGTGTTCGGCCCGCTGTTCGCCATGCTCAATATCCCCGCCCCGGTGTGCTTCAAATCCGTGCGAATCTCGTCTTCGAATTTCTCGCCGTAGATCGATGATCCTCCTCTGCCCGTCCCGGTGGGATCACCTGTCTGGACCATGAAATTCGGGATGATACGGTGGAAGATGACGTTGTTGTAGTACCCTCGCTGAGCAAGAGTCGCAAAGTTCTTGCACGTCTAGAAATAAACCGGGTTCATTAGCAAAGAGCTGTCTCTCTACCCCCCGCCTCCCGTTCGATCAAAGGCTTACCTTGGGCGCGTGGTCGTTGTAAAGCTCAACTGTGAAAGAGCCCTAGGAGCAGTCAGTCCCAGCTCACAATACACATTCTCATATACTAGTTACTTACCATAGATGTATCAAAAGCCACATCAGTCGCCATTTTGAAGAAGTCTGTCAAAGAATACTGTGTAGGTCTGCTGTGAGGGGGGAAAGCTGCCGGCAGTAACAGCTAAAGGTGAGCGGGCAGAAGGTGACGCGGTCTTGGCACTTACTCTACAGAATTGCAACAAACTGTGTGTCTGGGAGGAGACAACAAGCATCTGCTAGCATGGCTTAATTTTGCTTCAAACATTTTATCTCTGCTGCTTCTCTCTTTTCCCAAAACTTGGCTATATCTTTGCTCCGCTCAGAAACTTGTGTACACTCTCCACCATGGCCGAAGTCAGCCCCATGGCAGAGCTTCTGGGTCAGGCCATCTATCACTTTGAGGCCGTGAAGCCTTTGCTACCAACATACGCACATCTGCTGGTCTCTGCAATCTTTCCGATATTTATTGGAGCGCACGCCTCGCTGTCGAAACCCTCGTCTGCCGCCAAACCCTCCAAGCGTGACGACAACGGAGATGAACAAGACACAGAAGACGACGAGGAGGAGGAGGAAGAGACACGCGGACCGGTCCAGAAGATGGAAGGACTTGAGCCGTCCGATGCGCTCATGTTTCCTCTGACTGCGGGCCTGACACTGGGAGGACTATACCTGGTGATCAAGTGGCTGGAGGACCCTGCGATTCTCAACAAAATCCTGAGCTTTTACTTCTCGCAGATGGGTCTTTTCTTCGCCATAGCCTTCCTCCAGGACGCCCTGCATGTAGTCAGGTCCTTTGTCTTTCCCCGGCGGTATGCATACGGCGGGAAGGTCTGGAAAGTGAGGCAGTCAGAACGCATCTTTGCCGTCGTTGCACAGGGTTCTGATGGGAGCGAAGCGCGGCGGTCGCCTCTTCCGGGCGTCTTCAGCTGTATCCCTCTCCCGGAGAGTGTATCACAGGGTATCTGGGCTGTACGCCAGTTGGCATACCGGCGGGTACAGTTTCATGCTCATGTGCGGGGGGTTGTGGATGTCAAATGCATGATCGGGCTGCTGGACGTTGCTAGTGGCCTCATAGCCCTGTCGGCAGTTGGGTATTTTGCCTTTGTGACAAAGCCGTGGTGGTTGACCAACTTCCTGGGTTTCTGCTTCTGCTACGGGGCTCTGCAGTTCATGTCTCCCTCGACGTTCTGGACCGGAACACTCCTGCTGGGATCCCTGTTTTTCTACGACATCTATTTCGTCTTCTTTACACCTCTCATGGTCACGGTTGCGACCAAGCTCGATGTGCCCATCAAGCTCCTGTTCCCTCGTCCCCCAGCCGCGGGCCAGGCGCCTGATGCCGTTTCTCTCGCCATGCTTGGGCTGGGCGATATCGTCATCCCAGGCATGATGATCGGACTTGCTCTGCGGTTCGACCTGTTCATGTACTACAAGCGCAAGGGGGAACAAAAAGCACAGGCAGAAGGTGCAGGAAACACCTCCGTCAAGCCTACGTACCAGTCTGCCACGGGTGCCTGGGGCGAGCGGTTCTGGGCCCGCCTGTCACAGCAGAAACCCCGCGAACCCGAGCTTGCACCCCCGTACTCCGATGCGCGGGCGTTTTCTAAAATCTACTTCATCGCCAGCGTCGTAGGCTATTGTATCGGGATGATCGCGACCCTCATTGCCATGCAGATAGCCAACCATGCCCAGCCAGCCCTACTCTACCTAGTCCCCGGCGTTCTCATCTCGCTCTGGGGAACCGCTTTGGTTCGCGGAGAGGTGCGTGATATGTGGGACTTCTCCGATGCAGACGAGGAAGAAAATGACGACGGGGCCGAGACGGAGACAAAAAATGATGTCTCCTCTGAAAAGGCTAAGGATCACCGGAGCCTCCTCGCCCGTCTATGGTCGGGAGATATCAAGTCATTGGTGGTGAAGGAAGATGGAAAGAAGGACGGTACCACCAGCGAGGAGAAGACCGTTCTTGCCCGTGAAGACTCTTCCGCCGACGAAGGCAAGGAGGAAGACCTCCTCTTCATCAGGATCTCCCTGCCGCGCAAACCGAAGAAGGAGAAAAAGCCCACGGAAGCCGCTGAACAGCCCTCGAGCGAAGATGGAGAGGCCATCCTGGCGTCGTTCCCTTCGGGCGAGAGAGACAGCGAGCCGCCGGCGAAGAGACGACGAAGAAGTCCTCGGAACATGAATGCATGATGTATTACCATTAGATGGAAAAAGACGGGACGGAGTTGGGTATCACGATGTATTAAAATCATTTTTCTAGAACACTATTTAACTGGTTGTTTTTCTCTGGTAGAGGCTTTCTTTACTTTCACATCTCATTCTCAACTACCACTTCAAGACAGTCTTCATCTCCTCCCATCTCTGCGCCGACACGTCGACGAGCTGTCTCAGATCCTCCTTGCCAACCGTCCACCCGCCGTTCTTCTCCATGCGCACGATCACAGGGTTCCCACTCTGATCCTTGTCGAGAACAATGCACATTCGCTCCTGAGTCAGGCCCTCCTCGTATCCATCCGGGTCTGCCAGGATCCACCGCTGCTGCTGCTTATTCTGCTCCATCTCTATTGACGTAGGAAGGACAACCGCGCGCCAGCCGGCCGCCGCGTCGGCCTCGAAGACGCAAAACGAGGAACAAACGGGTAATCCACGGAGGAGGAGGGAGCGCGCCTCGTCCACCCGGTTGGAGCACAGCACGCTCTCGGCGTCGACGTCCCACCACGCGCGCGGGAGCTTTGTATCTCGCAGCGCGGCCAGGACGGCCGCCCACGCCGCGTCAAGCACATTTCCAGCCAGCGAGACAATCATCACATCAATGTAGAGTACCCAGAAGGCTTTGATTTCGCGCTTGCGCGGTTGTTTCAAGGAGGACTCCTTGTCTACCACGTCCACATCCATGGCTTCCCCGGTTTCCTGCCCCGCGCCCTCCAAATCCGGAACATCGTACCAAATGCGTAGATCGTCGGTTCGCACCAGGCGGCTGGTATGCAGCAGGGTGAGCAGTTGGTGGGAAAGCGATTGGGCGAGAGCCGAGGGCGGAGCGCCGGGGATGAAGCCCGGGGCGCAGCCGGTGCTGAGCGAGAGGTTCGGCACGAGCAGGTTCAGGTCTTGGATCTGTGATTCTTCGGGGTCTTCAGGGTCCTCCCCCGACAGCTTGCGGCGCTTGTTTCCTGCTCCGGTCGAGGAGGAGACACTCCACGAGGCAATGTCGTCTGTGTGCAAAATTTCCGCCCGCACACCACACACCGCGGCCGTGTCCCCGAGACGGACGACGGCGCTGCCGTTGGCGTGTGTCAGGGAGCCTGCGTTGGCTGAGGTCGCCCGGAACTGAGAGGGGGAACGGCCATTGGCACGGATGGAGGGCTGGTTGCTCAACGCCGGAGGGGAAAGGTGGGCGAGAAGATAGGCATGCGGTTGGAGGCTGGCGAACTGAGCGGGTGGGAGAGAGAGCGACGGCGTTGCGGCTGAGGGAACCATGGCGAGATTTCTTTCCTTCTTTCTCAAGTCTCTTTTCTTTTCAAGACTAGAAAAAAGTGAAGAAATAGTTGTGATAGTCGGCGGGCCTGGAGCCGCTATCAGTATCTGACACCGCCAAGCCTGCAATAAGGCTTGTTCTTGGGCAGTCGCTACTCCTCGACATTCAACAAAAACACTGAAAGCAATTGACGAGGTTATTTCTTCCTCTATTCCCAGCGGGTAGTAATACAGACTGTTACGCTGCATCCAGCTGCTCCCTTGTTATTGAGAACGCAGGAGAGGAGCAGTCTATTAACTGCATCTTTTAACTACAGTTACGAAGAGCAATTCTCGTCTTCCTTACGAAAAATGAATCCGCAGGTCTTTCTTCCCTTCGTGGGGGCATCAGTGTCAGGATCGAGTGAGATAGTCTTGCCCTTTTACCGCGCAGATGGGCGGGTAGAATGTTCTTATTGTACTTTCAAGCAGGAAGAGCATCACTAATAAAGAGGTAAAAGGAGTGTCCATTTTGACTCGATCTCCAACGCAGCCTCTTCCACTTTTCCATCCAACGAAACGACTGATATCATAGAGAATCATACACAAACGCTTATTTAGGCATTTTGACGCATATTTACGCAGAATCATGATTCTCAATTCCCATAACCCACCGGTTTGGGCGACTGCGGCCAGGCAATATGAGACGAGGCAAGCAGCAGGAATGGGGACTGGCCGGTGACTTTGGGATCCACGCCGATGAAATTGGTTGGGAAACCAGGGGTGAACGGGGTGACACTCTCGAGCTTCTCGATCTGTTTGTCGGTGAGGCGGAGGCTGAGAGCCTGGATATTGTCGTGCAGGTGTTCGATCTTGCGGCCACCGACCAGGGGGAAGACGTTGGGTGCCTTGGCGAGGACGTACGCGAGAGCGACGGCGGTGACGGACTCGATACCGTGTTCTTCAGCGACGGCGGCGAGGGCTTCGCTGACGCGGACCTCTTGCTCACTCTGCTCGCTCTTCGCCATGGAACGGAGGTTCTCCCCGTTCCGCTTGCGCTCCTCGAGCGCCTTGCGGGACTGGAAATGGCCGCTACCCAGCACATCCCACGGAGCGAGCGCCATGCCGAAATGACGCGCCATGGGGATTATCTCGCGCTCAAAGTCGCGCAGCATGACGTTCCACCGCCCCTGGTAGACGGAGAAGGGGGTCTTGCCGTGCGCGCGGGCGTAGGTGTTGGCGGCGGCCACCACCCAGGCCGGACTGTCGGAGATACCCAGGTACAGGACTTTGCCGGACTCGACGAGGATCTGCAGGCTGTCCATGATCTCCTCGATGGAGGTGGAGTGATCCCACCAGTGCAGGTACAGCAGGTCGATCCAGTCGGTCTGCAGCTTGCGCAGGGAGTCGCGCACGCTCATGTGCAGGCTCCGCCGATGGTTGCCGCAGTGGTTGACGGCGTGTCCTTTGCCGAGCGCATGGCTCTTGTAGTCGGTGGTGAACTTGGTTGCGATGACAAGCTGGTCACGGTTCCCACGGGCCTGCATCCACTCCCCGATCCACTCCTCCGACTGTTCGTCCTGGTAGTTGTTGGACGTGTCGATGAAGTTGCCGCCCGCCTCGACGAACGCGTCCAGCAGCTTGAACGACTGCTCCTTGCTCATGCTGCCCATGTACTCCGACCACGCGTCCCCGATGGACATCGCCCCGAGCTGGAGTGGCGACACCCGGATCCCCGCTGTCGACGACAGGATGCGGTACCTGCCCAGCTCCGTCGGTGGAGGGGGCGCCGGCGCAAAGAGCTTCTGCATGATGATATGAAGGAGTTGATATTGTGAGTAGCTTTTAAGAAGTAGTTAATGAGTAACTAAGTACTGTATATATATATATATACTCCGCTACTTGGACGCGTCATCTTATATAGCAGCAAAGAGGGGCAGTTTATAGTCTTATCTATCTTAGCGTCATCATTACATTAGAGTCTATACTCCATAGTACTAATATAAGGATAGACTCTGGAGCTGGAGATTCTGTACGAGGTTGAACCATGGACAGTATGGAGGATATAACCGGATACTAGCAAGATATGACCTTGTACAACCTAGGAACATAGTTATACGATATATATACCTACTACGACATATTCAACTGTCAGAATTACCAGTATCTATCTACTCAACACTGTATAGTATACTATACAACTCTGCTCTGTATGCTCTGCATTGTTGTATAAGAATAATGCAATATTCATAAACGGCGGACCAAATCTCGGACGAAGTGGCCGCTCCGGGCCAGCTCGTCCGGCCGTAGTCCTTATTAGGAAAGAGCAGACTAGGCCGGCACTAGTTGTCGATCAGGGACAAGCTTGACTTTGAGACTTTTGTTTGGAGATACAACAGAGACAGAGAGATACAGAGAGACAGACAGAGATAGAGACACACAGAGACACACAGAGACAGACAGAGACAGAGACAGAGATGGAGATACCAAGAGAGCCGTCTGTGAGATTATATACAGGCGGTGTTAAAGTACTTCGTGCCTCGGGCGATGTACGGCTGCATTAGAGCCCTCGACTGACGCAGGTGTCTCCAATAGTCAATAGTAATACGTTAACCCCGACAGGCACAACCTATGCAGTAAGAGATCTTCTCGATGAAACCTGGAACCTGCGGAGAGCACGTCGGAAGCTGGCCATTCCGTGTACACAGTACCTTTTCTCAGACAACACAACATCCCTAGTTTCATTGTTTCACGGCTCTATTTATGACTGTCTTTCTCTTTTCTTTTCTTTCCGTCTATTTTCTCTCTTTAATATATTTAATTTCTCATTTTGATCAAGTACTGGTTGGTTGCTAGACCGTACATATTTCCCTCCTATATCAGATTACGATACCAAGATTTACGCCATGGACGAAAGAAACGAGACAACGCAGCTTGCAGTTCCTCACAACACTCAACATCCCAGAGACGGAATCCCGACGTCGCCCTCGCCGGCCTATTCCCATGGAAGCACCCTCGTCGAGGAGGTCCAGACCAGCTCGGGCTCGGAGGAGAACGGTACAGACAGCGAGAATAAGGAGGAATCGAACGAAGAGTCAGGCACAGACACAGAGACAGAAGATGGAGAAGACGAGTATCCCTCGTCGTGGAAGCTGGTGTTGGTGACAATTGCCTTGTGTTTGTGTGTGTTTTGCGTTGCGCTGGTAAGACAAAAGCTCTGTCGATTAAGGTCTTCATTAGGTGTTTATTATTACTGACAATCCAGGACAATACGATCATTGCCACAGCAATCCCCAAGATCACAGATCAATTCGACTCTCTCGACGACGTGGGCTGGTACGGCTCCAGCTACCTGTTGACGACGTGCGCCATGACCTTGATCTTCGGCAAGATCTACACCTACTACTCCATCAAATGGGTCTACCTGGGCGCTCTGTTCATCTTCGAGATCGGCTCGCTCGTCTGCGGTATCACTCCTTCGTCGCTGGGCCTGATCCTGGGGCGTGCTGTCGCCGGGCTGGGCGCCTCCGGTCTCTTCTCGGGTTCGATTCTCATCGTCGCCAAAAGCGTGCCGTTGGTGAAACGCCCGCTCTATACCGGTTTCGTGGGGGGAATGTATGGCATCGCCAGTGTTGCTGGACCTCTGTAAGTAGTCAGCCATTCCTCCTCTCTCTCTTTGGGATCCTTTCTAACCTTCTAGCATGGGAGGCGCTTTCACAGACCATGTCACCTGGCGGTGGTGTTTCTATATCAACCTGCCGTTTGGCGCTGTCACCGCTCTCTTCATCTTATTCTTCTTCCCCTCGCCCAAGACCTTCAAGAAGCAGCAGAGCTTCAGACAACAGCTGGGAGAATTCGATCTGATCGGCAACTTCTTCTTCCTGCCGGCAATCATCTGCCTGCTGCTTGCCCTGCAGTGGGGGGGCGTCAAGTACGCCTGGGGCAACGCGCGCATCATTGCATTACTGGTGCTGGCGGGTGTCCTGATCATCATCTTCATCGGAGTGCAATTCAGACAGCAAGAAAAGGCCACCATCCCTCCTCGTCTGCTCCGAAACCGTAACGTCTGGGGGGCTGCCTGGTACAATCTCTGCCTGGGAGCATGTTTTTTTGTCTTTGTCTATTACGTACGTCTAGTATTCCTTGCTTTATATATATATATATATATACTCTGCTGACCAACAAGCTCCCCATCTGGTTCCAGGCCATCAAGGACGCATCGGCGATGTCGTCTGGGATCATGAACTTGCCCACCATCCTAGGCGTTGTGATCTGCTCGATTGTTTCCGGCGGACTGGTGACCGTGCTAGGCTACTACACCCCCTTTATGATCGCTTCGTCGGTGATTCTGACCATCGGCGCGGGACTGCTGACCACCCTCGAGACCGACTCCGGCGCCGACAAATGGATCGGGTACCAGATCCTGTTTGGCGTCGGGCTCGGGCTAGGCATGCAGCAGACGTTGATTGTGGTGCAGGCGTCGCTGCCGGCGGGGGACATCCCCACGGCGACGGCGATGATGATGTTCGCCCAGACGCTGGGCGGCTCCGTCTTCGTTTCCGTCGGCGAGAACGTCTTCCAGAACCAGCTGCTGAAAAACATCCACGCCGACGCCCCCTCGGTCAATACCGCAGCCATCATTGCCGCGGGGGCAACTGACTTGCGCCAGACCGTCGCTGCCAGCGTGCTCCCCGCCGTGCTGGACGCGTACAACAGTGCCGTCACCGAGACCTTTTACGTCGGAGTCGCCATGGGGGCCTTGTCGCTTGTTGGTCCTATCTTTCTGGAATGGAGATCCGTCAGGGGGACGAAGCTGGAGGTGGCCGCCGCATAGTGACGCTTTCTTTTCTATCTCATGCGCATATCATACTCAAAGTCTGGTTGTAACTCATAGATTAATTATACAGCAGCATACAAACTCAAGTAAATCCCCCATATAACCCCACAGGCACTGCCAAAGACCACCCGTCTATCTACAGGGACAACAGTATACAGCAGGCCCGAGACGATCGGTCTGAACTTGAGCCGGGCCGTCCAGATAGGCCAGAAGTCCTGTACATTAAGCATTCCATCCACCAGGAAGGGAAAACCAGACAAAAACGAGAGAGAAAAAAAAAAGACAACTCACTGCTTTGACAAAAGCGATGATTTGCGACAGAGTCGCCCCCTTGAGGAGATTGATCAGCACGACGAAGAGGAGGATGTTCATGATCCCGCCGACGATCATGTCAAGCAGGAACTTGATGGTGAAGTTGACCCATTTCGAGTGTCGTTTTTTCGGGCTCGGTTTCTCTTTCACATCTTCGCCCGCAGTGCCGAGTGGAATGCCCTGTGCTGCTGGTGCTGGCGGTGCTGCTGTTGACGCTCCTCCGATGTGACCTGGAAATCGCGCCTCGATGGCTTTCTGCCATGCGAAATTAATCGGCACGATCAGGATGCCGTACGTGATGAATTGGAGGAGGGCGAGGGCATTCAGCGCCAGAGGTTTCTATCAATCAGTTCTTCTTTTTTCAATGAATTTTAATTAATTAATTAATTAATTCTTTCTTTCTGCTTACTCCATTTTTGTATTGGTCAATGACCTGCGCGCTGACGTTGGCGATGGCGTTGAGGATGGTCGCTTGGATAAAAGTCGCGGTTAAGGGGGACCGGAGGGACATTGTCCTCGCCTCGTCTGTGAAATGGCTTTACAGACTGCCCAGGTGGAACTGATGCTGTTAGAATAGAGGTAACGACTGACTTGAGTTTGAAGTCCTATTCAATATCAGCCTCAGCTTATATTATGATTAGTGTGGGGCAAATTAACGTGTCTTCTATCCCTGGGGGAGTACTTGATGCACCCTCAGGATAGTAAAATAATAATTACCACTTGGCGATTAACCATCATTGTATTATATATTTATAGCTATTTATCTGCCCCCCCTAAACACTGCTCGTTCGCAGTCTCGTCATCCTGTACCCGTCGCCAGCTCGCTTTCTTCTCCCTCCCCCCCCCAGCAGGCTGCTGCCCGTCGGGCGCGCGCCAGATCGGCCGCAGGAGGCCCCCGGCGGCCAGGAGGGGGTTGTTACTGAACGCCTCGTGGGTTCGGTCCTGCGAGGTCTGGTTCAGATCGGTGGCCGCACTGGCGATGTCTTCTTCTTCTTCTTCTTCTTCTTCTTCCGCTGCTGCTGCTGGACGACTCTCTATAGGTTTTTTCTCGGTAGTGTTGTGGTACACACGTTTGACGCGCCCGCCGGAGATGTCCAGGCTCATAAAAGTCTGCTTGCGCTCCCATTCCGGCCGGGATTTTTCCTCCATCTCGCGTAGAACCTGCTGCTGCTTCTTGAGTGCTAGGGCGCGCTGCGCCGGGCTCATCCACAGCGTCGCGGCTATATTGGGGGTCTCGAAATCCGCCGCCTCGTCGACAACCTTGGTGCGCTGGGCATTTTGCGCCTGGAACTGAAGTAGCTTGTCGCGGTGAGCGCGTGCCGCGTTCAGTTTCGCATTGGCAGGAGCGGTATTGATACTAGCAGTACCGCCCGGCCCGCCGTGGTGGTGAACGCTCTCATTGTGAGCTCGCATCTTCTCCTGGCCTCGTTCTGCGCGCAGCTCCCGGATTATGCTCTGCACTTCCTCGTTGGAGATGAGCGGCGTGCCGCAGAACGAACACGGTTGCAGGCCTTCCAGCGCGCAGATGATCTTGCCGCAGTTCAAACAATTAGGTGCCGGCGTGAATACCGGATGGAGCGAAGCGTAGCAGGTGCATTTTTTCCGAATCCCCTTCTGGTTCAACGTCGGGTTCGTCGACACTTCCAACGCGGCGATCGCGGCCGTCAAATCCGCAATATTGCTGGTTGTCAGCGTGGTTCCTTTCGATGGTGTCGACGAGCCAGATCCCGATCCCGATCCTCCTCTCCCTCCTCCCCCTCCAGATCTAGATGACGGTTTAGCCGTCTTGGATCGCACGTTGGGCAAGAAATCTGAAATCATCGGCCCATTAGCCGAGGGGGGTGCCTTGGGCGTGGGCGTGGGCGCGGTGGGTTTAACAGGAGCAGGCGCATCATCATCCCATAATAACCCAGACCCAGACCCAGACCCAGACCCAGACCCAGACCCAGACCCAGACCCAGACCCAGACCCAGACCCAGATATAGATCCAGATCCTTTCTCCTCCCGATCGCTCTTCCTGTATGCCCCCGCTGTATTCCCGTAGTTGTCCGGTCTGCGCGGCGGGCCCGCACTGTGCAACGGAGGCTTCGGCCTTGAGGTCTTGGAGCCGCTGCCTTTTGTCGACGGTGCGTTGCGTGTCGCGTTGAACGAAGAGATGAATTCAAGGGCGGCAGGAGAATCGCCGAGCAGGTTCTTCAGGTGTTCGGCGCTGGCTTCCTTGGAGAGCGACGCGGCGTAGGTGAGGATCTGGGTGAGTGAGTCGTCATCGAGGGGGAGGAGCTGGCTGAGGCGCGACACGGCCTTTGACAGGTCGGCCATTGGGAGAGAGGGAAATAGAGAAATAGAGAGATCGAAAACTGAAGTTAGATCTCGACTATTACTTCTGCTAAATGTCTTTGTCCTCTGGATCCTGGATTTGACGGGTTGAGTGACGTTGGCGGAGAAAGAGAAGTTGGCCCACAGCGGAGTCAACTTTTTGTATGAGAGACTGGGAGACTGAGAGACTGAGCACAGAGGCCACTATTTTACTTCATTTCAAGGATAAGTATTATTGAATCGCGAAGCCATTTCAACCCGGTATTGTACAGAACATTGTGAGCCATCTAGATATGCAACAGAAACAAGAACAAAATGCCAACCATATCACCTCTTATCCACACGACGTGATGATGGTTCAACAGGCAAATGGGAGAGAATCAAAGGAGAGAAAAGACAGTAAGGAAATGAGATAAAGAAGGGAATAGAATAGAATGTCCGTTTGACGCCCCGAATGCCTTATGTACGTCAAGTTCGTAAAAAACCCCCCTCCCCCCCGGAAAGTAAGCCCACGACGACTTTTTATGTCCAAACGGTGAGACAGGGAGAAAACGGTCACGCCGAATAAAGTATTTATCAAGGCATTGGTATTAGTTGTCTTCTCCGACAGCTTCGCTCTTGATCTCCGCGTCCGCGGCGGCGGCCATGTCGGGAGTGGTGCCGTTCTTCAGCTTGCTGGGCAGCGAGGGCTTCTTGCCGATCGGCTTCTTGGAGCCGTTCAGTTTCTTCTTCTTGGGGAACACGCCGGACGGCGAGGATCCGTCCTCGTCGACGAGAGGCCGCTTGGGCGGATTCGACGCCGGGTTGGGCGTGGCGCTGCCGCTGTCGGCGGGGGTTCTGGTGCGGCCGGTGCCTCGACTGGACAGACCCATACACCGGTCGAGATGCATGGCGAAGCGGGTGACTCCAAAGTACCGCGGACAGTTGGGACACTTGACGGTGGGGAAGAGGATTTCCTTGCTGGCGCCACTTTCCGGGGTGCCCGGCGGGCTCGAGGCGGGCGTGTTGGACGTGGTGGTCTCCTTGTCCTTGTCCTTCTTCTTCTTTTTGGTTTGCGTCTTGTCGACCGCGAACGGGTTCCCGTGCACATCATGGCCGGGCTTGCTGATCAGCGGCTGTCTCTGACAGTACTCCCGCGACGGGTCTGGAGGGGGGCGCGCCCCGATGCCGGCCACCGGGTACAGGAGACGAGGAAGACGGCAGTCCGGGCAGATGATCTCCTTGGTGGTCTTCAACGGGTTGCCCTTCAGATAGACCTTGCCCTCGTCGAAGATGGCCCCCTCTGTTTCGACCCGAATGTTGGTAAAGGACTGCGCTTCCGCCTCGGGGTCCCCTGGCTTCGCGGGCACTGCTGGCGTCGCCTTGCCAGCGGTTCCCTCGCGCAGCCGCCTCGCCTCCTCCTCGCCCCTTTGTCTCGCAATCGTCACGGCTGAACGCATCCGGGCAATCTTTTCATCGCGGTGGACTTTGGCAACGATGTCGTGGATGATGTTGTAGAAGGTTCCGTCGAGAATGTCGCACGTCTGAGCCAAAAAAAAAAAGGGTTTTTCTATTAGCAACAAGAACGAAGCCACCATACCCCGATGGCAACACGTACCAGTTTCGCAATCGTCCCATTAGGAAGCGACTTGGTTGATCCGTTCGAATCCCCCATTTTGACCTTGCGGTAATCAGCACATGGTAATAGGGTAGACAGCGCAGCACCCACCCTACCTAGGTAGTATTCTCCCACGTTATTCTCACCGACACACAATCTTCTTCTTCACCAAAAGGACAGGCCGACGACGAGTAGATTCTATCGCCAGGCTGATTCTAAAGGGATCTCGGCTCGATGGGAAATCCTGCACTCAAACGGAACGATCACAAAGGCAGCTTCGGTGAGTCCATCTGCTTCGATCGACGAGAGCATCCGGAGGAGACGGGAAAAAGGGAAAAAAGGAGAAAGAGAAACCCCTACTGGCAAGAGAAAAGGTCAGTGAAAGCGATTCCCTAATGTAATTCACCGGGGGGGGGGGGAAAGAAGCTGCTATTCACCTGGCAGCCCAACAACAGCCACCCCCAGCAACAATAACCAAGAAACAATAAGACCAGAGTCCAAGAGTACAATAGCTCCAATAGCTCCACCAACCAGCCTCCGCGTATTTGCTTTCGTCTTGCAACCGCCGGGGCCCGAGTCCGCGAGAGTTGCTGGTCCCAGGAGAGCGTCGCTGGCAAAGTCTCTCTCTCTCGCTCTCTCCGGCCAACCGGCCTTTGCATCTTATCTTATCTCATCTCCGCATTCAGAGCGAGCGAGAATATGACCTGATTGTGCCTGACCACGACAATACACTACACGCTCAATAGGAGGAATACCCCTGGTCTTTCTATCTCTTGAGAATGGCGTATCAATTCTTCGCCAAAGCACAGCAGCAGCAGCAGCAGCAGCAAGCCAAAACACCCACCTCTCCGCCTCTGTCCCCCCCTCAGTCGCGTCTCACCCGACCGCCGTCCATCCACCCCCCGCCGCTGGTCCTCCCTCAGTCGTCGGTGGCGGTATCTACCAGCCAGCGTCAGGGAGGGAGCCATGGAGCACCGCCAAAGACAACCACCGACAGTGTAGCCTTTGAGGCGGTGCCATATCCTCGCCCTGTCCCGTCCAGCGTCGCGACCCCTCACCCCCACATCACCATCGACACGGTCAGCACAGCACATATCCCCTCCCTGACGCGGATTACAGGCCTGTTGTTGCCCATCCGATATCCCAACTCCTTCTACACGGCAACCATCACCGACCCGGTTATCGCCTCGTTGTCCCGCGTTGCGGTGTACCATGACCACCCTGTCGGGGGGCCCGCAGCAACAACAGCAGCAACAGCAATAACAACGACGACGACGACGACGACGACGATACCACCGCCCTCTCTGGGTGCTGACAAGGTGATTGGGGGTATCAGATGTCGACTGGAACGATGCGTACAGGCTGAGCATACCTCTACTTCTCCAGCTACAGCTACAACCCTCTACATCCAGACTCTGCATTTACTCTCTCCCTACCGCGGCCACGGGGTCGCCACTGCGCTGCTCAACTCGTTGATCTCGGCCCCCGATCTAGTGAACCACTATAACATCCGCAGCGTGACGGCGCACGTCCACGAAGCCAACGAAGACGGCCTGAAATGGTACCGTGCGCGTGGGTTCGAGGTCCAGCCAGGTGTCGTGGAGGGGTATTATCGCCGGCTTAAGCCTACGGGGGCAAGAATCGTCAAGCTGTCTTTGGAGAAGTCGACTACTCCTGCTACTACTGCTACGACTACTTCTACTACTACTACTACTACTACTACTACTACTACTATGACTACTTCTACTGCTGCAGCAGAAGATCAAGATGACGAGTGGGAAAAGGTCGAGGCCGAAGAAGACGACGATCACGGCATCCAGCCGATGGACTCGCGCATTCTGGACGACGAGAGGGTGTGCAGGAAGCGCAAGAGTAGTTCATAACATTCTCATTACCCATAGTCTCATCATTACTTATAGTCGATACCCTGCTCATCCTATGCATCATTCATTGGATTATTATATACATACCGAGTACATAGAGTATAAACAGTGGCCAGTAGAAAGAACCCTTAAAAACGCCAGGCTTGGGCCAAGAAGAGCAAGGCAAGCTAGATATTGTAATTCTCGGCATGGAGGAAAATCTCGTCCACAGCCGGGTTCGTCATGACCAGCCGCTGCAGCGAGGCCACCGTCTTGGTCGCCGCCACCCGCATCGCCGGCGGCCCGCAGATGTACACGCATGTCCGACGCCCAAACGACTGCGAGTACTCGGTTAGAATCCGGGGGATGTCTGGCCGAGTATAATCTGTGCGCCAGCCGTCGCGGCGCAGAGTAGACAGCGAGGCGAACCGGGGGGTGGTGTCTTGCTCTTGTTGTTGTTGTTGTTGTTGTTGTTGCTGCTGCAATTGTTGATGATATTGCTGATATTGTTCTTGCTGGTATTGTTGAGATTGCTGGTATTGTTCCTGCGGGTGTTGCTCCTGCTGGTATTGCTCCTGGTATTGCTGCTGGTATTGCTGCTGGTATTGCTGCTGGTATTGCTGCTGGTATTGCTGCTGGTATTGCTGCTGATATTGCTGCTGGTATTGCTGCTGGTATTGCTGATATTGTTCCTGCTGCTGCTGCTGGAATCCAAAGTCAAAGCCGGTATGATAAGGATCCGGATAGGCCGGATAGACCGGGCCATATCTTGGAGCCATGTACGCCTGAGGCAAAGGGGCGAGGCCGTCCTCGTTTTCACGGCGGAGCTCCTTTTCGCGCTCCTGGTCACCCGCGGCCTCCTGCCTGATGAACGCGGAGCTACGCTTGTCGATCCCGGAGAGGATGTTGTTGATCTTCTCCTGGATGAGGTCGCGCTGGTGCTGTTCCTGCAGCGGGTCGTTGGTCTCGCGGCCGCCGGTGATGTAGAAATGGCAGTGCACGGAGTTGAGGGGCGCGTAGTCGCGGCAGATGCGGAGCTCCTCCTTGAACCATTCCATGGTCTCGGGGCTCTTGAGCGCCCAGATCACGCGCACGCGCCTCGTCACGGCCTTGCCGTCGCGCATCCGTTTGATCAGGTAGAGCAGCTGGCCGGCGATGGCGGTGATGCCGCTCCCGCCGGCGAAGAAGATGACGTCGTCAAACGCGGCCAGCTCGCGCTGCATGCCCCCGTAGGGCCCCTCGAGGAAGGCCGTGTAGGTCCGGTACGGCCCGTGCTTGAGGGCCTTTTTCAACACCTGGCGCGTGAAGCCGCCAAAGGGGCGGAACACGAGCGTCAGGTCGCGGTACTTCTCGCCGTACTCGGAGGGGAAATCGTCGCTGCACAGCGAGGCAATCGTGAAGGGATGGTTGCCTAGGAGCGAGATGCCTGGCATGCGGAGGTAGACGTACTGGCCCGGTCGCCACCGCATCCGCGTGGGCACGGTGACCTTGACGGCGTTCTCGGGGAGCAGCGTGACGGCGGATTCCTCGCCGATCAGGAACGAGATGCGGAACGGGTTGGTCCAGTTGAGGTAGAACAGGCGGATGATGCTCGAGACCAGCCAGCAGGCCAGGGTAGCCCACAGATAACCCCAGGAGGCCAGGTAGTTCTTGGAGTGCCAGAACAGCAGGGCCAAGAAGATGAGCGAGGCCGGCAGATGCATGAAAACAAAGAGCTCGTACAGCTTCTCGCGCAGCACCGGCAGGGAATGAAGACACAGGAAGGCCAAGGGGACCAGTGCCGCGAGCCCCGTGCCGTAGACATATATGTTCTGCCCCACGAACTTCTGGTAGTTGACCTCGGCGCCATCGTTCCAGATCGGGGTGATGTAGAAGGGGAGGGTGTGGACGAGGGCCATGAACAGACAGACGTACGCCGCCCAGCGGTGCAGGACATTGAGTCGTTCGTGGTCGATGCCGGTCAGGTAAGTGATGAAATTGGCCTTGAGACCCAGCAGGAAAACCCAGGGCACCAGCGAGGTGGCGATCATGCCGGCACGGATGGCCAGCGGCGGGGACCCCCACGAGATCGACTCGAAGTACAGCGGTTGGGGCACAAAACAGAAGAGCAGGCAGAACAGGAAGGATGCCAGAACAATGGCGATGGTCCCCAGCGATGGAAACACAATGCAGAATCGCCAGATGCGCAGGACGGGGATAGGGCGATAGAAGATCCACCGCAGGAACGCAATCGTATTGTTCAGAGGCGCAATCGTTGACACCGACGATTGCTGTTTGCCAGTCGCTGCAGTCATCATCATCATGGTTGTTTTTGTTGTTGTTGTTGTTGTTGTCGTCGTCACTCCCGTCTTGGCCCCTGTGGCAGTCAACGACGACGACGAAGATGTATATGGCTGTGGGAAGAGGTGGGCGGTCGATCTCTCGGTAGTCGCACTGGGCAGCTCATACTCCTCGGTAGCATTGACCGGCGAGGTACTCTGCTGCCACCCGGGACCCTTCCGATACATGGCAATCCGGGTCTTATCACCCCAGGTGTGATACCAGCGCACGGCGGTGGCGACGAGGAGAAGAACGACCGCAAAGTAGACCCAGGCGAGACCGAATTTGCCCGATTTGGCGAAGGGAGCTGCGGCCATCGCCTCGATTTGCGCCTGGGTGGTGGACGCGGTGATGGGGACTCTAATGCGCTTCACGAGCGCAACCACCGAGTCCCACGCCATGATGAGTGAGATTTATTGATGATTATATGAAGAGTTTGGTTATCTCGATAGGCGATGCTTTCAGCGGTTTCGATGTGCTGTAGTAAGTACACGAGCCCTCCCGGACGAGAAAGCTAAAAACGCAGCCGGTAGTCAGTTACATCCCAGAGTCAGACCATTCACTTTTGATTCTGATATATCTTTTTTCTTTTCTTTTTGTTTCTCTTCTTGCCTCTGGATGAGCAACGAACCGAGTCAGATTCGGATGAGGAACGACGGGGGCGGGAAGGCCTAGAAGTATTCGGCCTGGAGGGCGCGAGCAGTGGTCCTCGGCAGGAGCGCTCTCGCTGCAGGGTGCGGATTGTGGCATGGTCGGCAGCGAGCAATGGATCTCTGCTGGAGACTCCGTAGACTGATTAGTTTAGTCGCCGTGATGCTTGTCCGTCCGAGTGACAGGCTCTCGTTTGCCGCCGGGGAAATGGATCGTCGCCCAATCAACGGCGGTAGAGGCGGTGATACCAGCTGCAGCACTGCATTAGCTGGGGAGCACATAGAGGGAGGGGATCTGATTGGCACTGACGGCAGCAAATCGAGTGCGTAAGACTTACCAGAGGTACCAGAGCTGCTCGTGGCAGTGGCAGTGGCAGTGGCAGTGGCAGTGGTGGTGGTGGTGGTGGTTGGGGATAAAAGGGAAGCCTGGATATTCTGAACAGCGAAGGAGGGGAAGATCAGGTGATCACTCGTGACAGCTCTTATTTTTAGAATATTCAAATTCTACGTTATTGAATTGAACTGATATTATATCATATTGCCGAAGAAGAAGAAGAAGTGCTGTTGACATTCTCACCCAGGATGACTACGAATAAAACCATACTTTGCGACAGTGAACTACACTGGATGATGTATTCAGATAACAGATTGTATTTATAATTCATCAGGGAGACCAATCATGCTCCCTACGGCGCTACACGCCATGTATTGCTTGCATAACTCGTCAAGGAATAGTTAATTCATACACCCTTCTACTCACTCTGCTCCAGAACACTTTGAGAACACCAGTCCATGCATACAAGACCATGCCCCCCATTTGTATGAGACAGACATCGACCCTCTCACAGCCTACAAAGTCGGCTTTTTTTTTTCTTTTTTTTTTTTTTTTTTCTCTTTTTTTGTTTTTTTTTTTCTTTTTTTTTTTTTTTTTTTTTTTTTTCTCTCCACAGAGCGCGGCGGTGGGAGAAGAGGGTGTCTCACGCCTTCTGCGCAGTAAAAATAGTCAATAGGATCGAGGCGATGGTTTAAAAGCACCAAAGAGCCGGAGGAGAAAAGACAGGTTTTGCTGAGGGGGGAAAAAAGAGCATATATGACTCGGAGCCCAAAGTCGAAGAAAAAAACACCGACAAATAGGCGAATTAGTCGTATGCGGGTATGGAAAAGAGATAATGGCTGG